CCTACTTGTTAGTTATGTTACTGTACTGTCCGGTAATCAGTGAGGAATACGAGGAATTGGGGAGAGCCATTGGTGCGGGGTGGCTTGATAAGGTCAAGAAAATATATTATGCATTACCCCTCTATCTCCTTTCGCCCCTGAAATCCCAACCGAAAGAAGCCGGCCTCGCCAGATCAAGCAGGCGAGACATTCTCATTCAGGCAGTCATACCTATTCCTATAGCGGTGGGCATAACTGAGATATATCTGCATCGCGTGCAATCTTCTTAGGAAGGACAGGCATTACTGCTGGCCCCTTCGTAGTGCCACGGAGTGTTCAGCCTCGTGCCCCGCAATGACGGCCAGCGCCGAAAGGCTGGATGGTTAGTCAGCGAGGCTGAAGCTAGTGAGGCTGAGACCCTTGTTGACCCTTGGCCCTCGGCAAGCTGACCAAAGAATATGTAATATAAATTCCATTTCTCCTTCCCTCCCCCCCCTCTCTCTCTCCATTTTATGGGTTATAATATCAACTTTCGACCTCGCCAGGCTGAAGAGAAACCTCAAGTCTGAAGCAATCACATACACAGCTGTTTTCGTCAAGATGCCGTGGCCGCCTCTCCAAGAACGTCTACTGAATCTGCTTGATCCGGGCTACCTGCTCTGGTCCAGCGCTTGTGGTAGGTTATACGTAACCCCTTTCCGCCCTTTTATTTCTCTGCAAAGCCAAGAATACTCATCACCGGAGGGTTCTGGTCTCTGACGAAGTAAAATTAAAATTTTGTTAGCATTTGTCACTACGGCGTTTCAGTTCTATGTCCTCCAGCTTCATCTCCCCTCGGCGTCCAACTTCAAGAATGTTCGGGACGATGCTTTCTCCAAATTCTGGACCAAAGTCACCGGTAAGTTTAGTACCCACTCCCCGATCAATCACGTTTTGCTCGGGGAATGGAGAAAGAAGAAGACGAAAAAGGCGGTGCGAGGTATTTATTATTCCATTCTCCAGAACCGGTCGACCCGCCTCCCCCTCCAAAGGGCTCAGCGACTCTAGTTCCACCGCTGCTGTCCCGCGCTCACGGGGTGGTTCTGGACATCGGGCCCGGATCCGGGTCCTACGTATCGTTATTCGCCGACAACCCCAATATTAGCGCCGTGTATGGCGCGGAGCCGACGCCAGGCCTCCATGTCCCGCTGCAGCAGCGGATTAACGAAGCCAAGCTGACCGACAAATATCACATCCTCAGCTGCACGGCAGACAAGGCCGAGGTGCTGGCCGCGCTGGCAAAGGAAGGCGTCAGGCCCTCCGCTAAGGGCATCTTCGACACCATCGTCTGCGTCCGCGTGCTCTGCTCGGTCCCCAACCTTGCACAGACGGCCAGCGAACTGTACTCGCTGCTGCGGCCCGGCGGCGAGCTGATGATTGTCGAGCACATCCGGAATCCTTGGACCAAGAACGGCAGCATCCTGGGCCGCGCGATGCAGCTCCTCTATCACCTGCTCGGCTGGCCGTTCTTCCTGGCCGGCTGTAACATGGATCGTGATACGCCCGCCGTGTTGAAGAGCGCCGCTCCCTGGGAAGCCGTCGACCTGAAGACCCATTTCGAGTGGACTGCCCTGCCGTATGTCGCCGGCACATTGACAAAAAGGCGATAGATAGTTGGCTTGTCGGTCAATCGAGAAGGCAGGGAGGCATGAGTGCCGAGCCGGAACTTGAAAATGAAGTTCAAAGTTGCAAGTTAGAGAAGTCGAAGATACAGAGGTTATGATGAAAGAGATTATGAGTCCCATCAACTGGGTTTTCTCAACCGATTTACGGCGAAAGGGGCGGCTGGATGTATGCATACATGTCCGGATGCATCCATGCGGTTTTTCTTTGTGTCACAGAAAGGCGGGTAAGCAGGCAGGCAGACAACGCCGCCTCCCGTTCCAAGCTCCTCCAGCGCAAGAAAGGATCTCAGCTGAACGTGATTGACGCCGAGCTGCGCAATGCGAGGCACCTGATCTGGGCTTGGGTTTTGAACGTGCGCCCTGCTCACCTGGACCTGTGTGCTGTCCGTTGAAGGTTGACACCGTGTCTTTGGGCAGCATGATTTATGTGTTTACGTATTGTTTATGTTTGTCGTTATGTGTGTACATATCCAACCTAGTCCTAGTCCCTCTTCTCCCTTTTCTGTTCCTTTCAACAAGCTACCACCCCTCCCTCGTTGCCCCGGAAGGATTATGTATATATGTCTTATGTGAAAAGTCAGCAGCCGTTTCGAATACCCTAAACTCTCCCCCTTTTGTTTTGACCCTTGCCCTGGATTCAACCGGCCGCGTACAGGTTTTAACGCAAGGCTTCCTGTGTTGTTGTCGTTGTTGTCGTTGTTGTTGTTCTTGTCAGCAGCCACTCAAAATGAACCGGAACAAAGAAGGTTTGCTGTTGAAAGCAATGTTTGATTTGACTGATGTTGTTTTTGTTGTATCTGTTTGCTCACCCTGCGTCGTTCTCGCTCCTTCCTTTCGCCTCAGCAATAGAAGGGAGTGAGAGATCGAAATATCAGGGAGTGAGATATATTCCTCCTCACTTCTTAAGTTGTTGGAAACGATCCATGTCTTCAACCCTCCTTTCTCTTTGCAACAACAACAGCAGCAACTTCACATTTCATCCACCCCCCAAACCATGGACAGTGGAAGCAGTTCTCCAGGATCTGCGCCAATAACCCTCAGTCCGACGAGTAGCCCGTCCAGTCTCGACGAAGAGACAGCCAGACACCTGAACTTGTTTGCATCGGAAGACGGCGCAAATGATGCAGATGAAGGACCATCCTCGAACTTCCCCCGCGATCTGGAGGCGGCGCCTCTGTTCTCAAGCCAAGTCAAGCAGCACCTCAATGCGTCGTTTTCGAGGAGTGACCAGGTCCCAGAACTCCCAGCATATGGCCTCTTGGGGCTCCGGACGGGTGCGTTCGACGAATTCAATGATGCCAGGTTGTTGCCGCAAGACCTGTCGCTACAGGATAACCTGATCTACGCCAACATGCAACACCCCTGGTCAACGTTCATCTGCGGCCAGCAAGGCGCGGGCAAGAGCCACACCATGTCCTGTCTGCTTGAGAACGCCCTTATCAGCGACAGCACCATGGGCCGCAACCTGACGCCCATGTCCGGTCTGGTCTTCCACTATGACAAGTTCACATCTCACAGCGCCACTCAGGTCTGCGAAGCCGCCTATCTCAGCTCTCGTGGCATCAATGTGCAAGTCCTTGTGTCGCCATCGAACCTGCCGGCCATGAAGAAGCTCTACCGCAATTTGCCGAACTGGCCGAAAGGTGCCCCGAGGCCGGAAGTCATCCCGTTTCTGTTCAGCGAGCAGCAGCTTAACGTCGCGAACCTCAAGGCCCTTATGGCTGTGGACCCTGATGACAGGAACCCACCGTTGTACATGGCCATCGTCAACAAAGTTCTCAAGCAGCTCTCGCTCACGGGTACCACGACGGGCGTCAACTACAGAGCGATGAAGAAAGCGATCCTCAATGAAGGTCTGACGCCTGCGCAAATGACCTTCCTCGACATGCGCTACGGCTTGACCGAATGGTTTCTCAGGGAGACCGCACCGCAGTCCATCAGAGAACGAGCCGGAATGATCGAATTCAAGCCTCAAACAATCTTCATTGTTGACCTCAGCTGTCCCTTCATCACCGAGTCCGACGCGTGTATGCTGTTCTCCATCTTCCTGCAGATCTTCCTCGGCCGTCGCCACAGAAGCCCTTTGATTATCGCCCTGGACGAAGCGCACAAGGTGAGGCGTGACTGCCCTGTTTTCCGTCCCCGTCTCTCTTGCAAAACATTGCTGACATGCTTGAAGTTCATGACAGAAACCCCAGGTGCGCAAGCGTTCTCCGAGGATCTGGTCCAGGTTATCCGCCAGCAACGCCACCTCGCCACGCGTGTGGTGATTGCGACTCAGGAACCGAGCATCTCGCCTAAGCTGCTCGATCTCTGTAACGTGGCCATTGTGCACCAGTTTCAGTCACCGGATTGGTACAAGGTGCTGAAGCGACACCTCGCGGCCTTGGCGTGGCCGAAGAGTGGAAGCGACGGCCACGACAAAGTCTTCAAGAAGATTGTGAGATTGGGTCAAGGAGAGGCGCTGGTGTTCTGTCCAAAGGCGTATTTCGACGTCGACGGGAGCAGGGGCAATCTCAACTTCAGACCGCTGGAAGACGGATATGCGAAGGTCAAGATCAGAGGGAGGATCACGGCGGATGGTGGAAGGAGCATTGTGGCATCAGATGCGAACCAGGGAGGGGACTGAAAGAGGGGAAGACGTGGTCCGAGGGGACGTCAATATGATGTTGACGAGGCCGTTAGAATGGGACACGGTGATCACACTTCATGTTGTTGCGGAGGTCAGCAACGAGCTTTTGGGATTGTATTGTAGTGAGGACATGTGGTTTTGTTGGGCTCCAGGAGGCTGGGCATCGATCCAATGTTACAAACAACCCCCCAGCCGTTTCTCAATGCGCAAGATATGCATCAATGATCAACCTCTTGGTGCTTGGGATATGTCGGATGTGATTGCAGCAATTCTTGACGAGTAATCAAACAGATTGTGGACATGTTCAGTCTCACTCTGGAGCGGTCAGCTCCATAGGGAAGAGCAGCCATTCTATCCACATTGAGGACTCTTATGTCGCCATCGAGTTCGACATCCTTTTCCGCGTCAGAGTGCCACGTCCTTTACCCGAGCATGCCATTTGGCAAGAGTTCTGTTGGTTGCTGAAAAAAAAAAAAAAAAAAAAAAGAGGGGGCGGTAATATGATGGAATGGTCCCGATGAGGCTGGCGAGACTAGGGCCCGAGTTGTTGCTCAGCATCACAGAAACCATGCGTTCCGTGTGCCAGGTCCAGCCGGATGGCTACCACATAGATCCCGCTATGACAAAGGGCACGCGATGTTGGTGATGTGTCAAAGACTTGGCTTCCCCGGCCTGCAAGCAGAGAACAATGAGCATTATTTTTTGCCCTCAGGGTACCAGCGTTGCTAGGACTTGGAATCGGATTCGGGGGGGTCATGTCCTAGCAACGCTGGCTCTGGCCTTTGTCGGGACTTTTCAATCGCAATCCCATCCGCTCCGGCCCTTTCGGCGGGTTGGGCGAAGTTGCCAGGATTCTCATGCAAATGTGAATGCTTTCGTGGCTTTCCCAAGTTGAGGTCCGTGAGCTCGCGGTTTATGGGCTCACGCTCCCTGCGCTCGAGCCTGAGGCGCCCGAGGCGCCAGCGTTTGAGTTGGTCGATGAGCACACGGTACCGGAGCTCCCTGAGCTCGAGGTCCGCCGATCGCTCCGTGCATGCTTGTGCAAGGATACCTACGCTGCTGGTTTCTTCTGCGTCCTTGAACATTGACGCCATATTTCTTCAAGAATTCGCGTTTCAGGACGTCGTATATCATGCAGTAGTCGTTTCGCACCATGTCAATCTTCATCCGCTGTTCGAAGATCGAATCTACCGTTTCAAATATGACATCTTTTTGCTTGTCAGTAGAATCTCCGGATTCAGCGGCCGCTTGGTGCGACGGTTGAAGCAGTCTGCTAGACTCGAGCTCGTCCAGGAGAAAGTCTAACGCAACCCATACCTCGACAGAAATCCCGAGGGAGCTCTAGTGAATTATTCGAGGAGGCCCTCCCGCTTCGGCCTTTGTTATTTTCATATGTCTGATGATTGTCTCGAGGACCAAAGGGCCGTATTTCGACACCCGGAACGTATAGTGGGAGATATGTTTCGAACTCTCTCCTATCATCACTGGTAGGCTTTTCACTTCATAGCAAGGGTGTGGGTATTGACAATGAGCAAGTAAGCGAATGCTGCACTCTCCGAAGAGTAGTTGTTGTGTTCTCCATATTGTACGGATAATACTGGGAAAACATTGCGCTCGAGGTTTCCAACTCATGCAGCAGCATGACGACCACTCCGAAATCCCCTGTTGTCTGTTGAAGCACCATACGCCAGAAATTATAGAATGGCTCAAAAAGAGCATGTTGAGTGACAATGTATTTCGTTTCCTCTCGACATTTGCCAAAGGCGACACGCTACTCCCTGGTCGCAGGCCTGTTCTCGGTCTGTTGCTCGCCGGGACTTCGCACGTCAGTGACAGATCGTGCCTCTTTCGGACGAGACGGAGCAAACCACGCGCGGTATTAGCGATGATGCCTTACCTTTAAAAAGAACTTGTCTTCCTCTGCAAGGATGTTGACAACCTCTTTTCGGGATCTCCCTTTTTCCACATAAAGCCGTGAATTCTTTTCACGATACAGATCGTATTCGTGACGGGGATGCGTTTGGATTGGCTCTGAGGCTCTCGAGTCGTCACAGCCTGGTCCCCTTGGAGGGACATACCGAAGACTACAATTCCTCATCAATAGGTAGGAAGAGAATGCCTGGCGTATCAACAGTTGGGCCCCTTAAAATTGTCGGCCATTTGGCGATGTAGGTGTTTGAGCTATGCTAGACATTGAAACCCCGATCCTGATGATGGAAAGATGACAGGACGTTGATGACAAGAGTAAAGGTTGAATGAGGCTAAAGCCAATCCCAATACGGGGTATACTTTCCCTTTCAGGAATGGCGGGTTTGGCGGGATAAACAGCCTTCTCTCCGTTCTTCATGCCCAAGGTCATAACAGTCCCCGAGAGAAGGCCGTCCAACGCCATGCCGGCGCCATGGCTGGCGAGGAACTCGACGATTTAGATATGGTCGATATCGCCCCCGATATCTTGATCGCCATAGCGCACCTCGCCACGTCGCTAGGCATTAAGGAGTTGGATACTTTGTGAAGTCGGCCACGCATAGAGACGAATTTGCAGGCCAGCACGGCCTCATCGGATTTGAGACGGAGGGCTCTGGTATCTGTGACTTCTTTCCTACCCTTGTCATCAAAGGCGTGTGCGACTATGCCGACAGCCACAAAAACAAGACGTGGCAGACTTACGCCACAGCAACGGCGGCTGCGGCAACGAAAGCCTTCCTCAAGGAATGGAGGCCCAAGGCTGAGTGAGGCTGGATCTTCGGCGGGTTAAATAATAATTTTTTGTTTGGGTCAGAATCTCTCAGAGAAACGTGAATTGGATAGCCCGCTTCGAGAGCAATACAATGATAGAATATCGGAACAATTAAGATGCGACGCCCGACAAATGATTTGCTTATACTCCGACCCATCGGTCACAGGCAGCCGTGACACCTGATCCCAGAGCCGAGGTGTTGAACGAGGCAATTGATGCAGCTCGTGCAAAATATTTGTGGCGTGATGTTGAGTTGAAGCCTCGGCACCAGCGCAAGGCTGCAGCAGGGGGCGGGGCTTGGCAAGGCTGCAGGGATTGCGGTGCAGGATCCTGTTGGCCGCCAACAAAACCAAAAGGGAAGAATATTCATTGAACATTGTTTCCGACCCAGTTAAAAAGTCGTCCAGATGCTCATTCATGCAAGGTAGTGCGATAGCCGGATCGACCGCTTTTCCGGAAATGATCTTCAAAGTGTGGCATGTTCACGAACCTCTCGCCCGCTCACTTTACTCGGTGGTGTGAGGAGCATATTATGTGCTCAAGTCACTGCACTCTCGCCGGTCATTTGTCAAGGCTTGCCCATGCAGTACCAAGTAACCTGTTTTCCAGCCCTACTAGTAGAGGTTAGCGGGTAAGGTATGAGGTAAGTACCACGGTACGTCAGCCAGCAAAGCACCATCACGCTGCGTTGCTTTTCCAAGGTTTCGCAATTAATGAAAAATACCTCGTGACCCTCCCTCGGCGTTTCTTCTCACCCTGTTGCATGTGTTCGAGTTCAGTGCGCGAATTCCCGCCCATTCCCGGAGGGCTGGGGGAAAACCCAAAAAGAAAAGGTATTTGTACATCCGGACATAATCTCACAGAGCGTTTCGGGGTGCATTGGATCAAAGACTTTTCAAACAAAGACACAGAAATCATCGGAAAACCGACACCACAACAATACACCACAGTTGGCATTCCTCGATTACATCCTCACCCCTCGAACCCATTCGGGGTATCTATCAAGCATACCTGAACAACAACAACAATCAATCAATCCATCCATCCGCAACATCAACAACAAAAACACACAAACAACAATGGGAGTCCTACAACAGACCTTCCCCCTCTCCCTCATCTACTTTTCCCTCGTCTTCCTCTCGGGCGTGATCCTCGGTTCCATCCGCGTCCCGTACCTACAACCACTGATTGGGGCGCGGTACGCCGAGCTGTTCGAGATGCCCATCATGCTGATCATCATCTGGCAGGCAGCGCAAGTGACAGTGTGGAACCTGGAGTCCGGCCAAAGGCAGCCAAAGGGCAGCTGGTGGAAGACCGGGTTGCGGTTCATGACGTCGACGCCCGTGCTGGTTGGCGTGCTGGCGCTCGTGTGGCTGCTGGCCGTCGAGCTGGGCACCAGCGTCATCGCCCAGGTCTCCTGGGGCACCGGCTCCTGGTGGGACGGCATCGTCCAGTACTTCACGGGACGCGACGTCGTCGCCGGCCCCGTGTTCGGGATGGTCCTGTTGGCGTACGCTGCCATGCCGTGCATCGCGTGGCTGGTGCAGACTCAGCAGGACACGGATAAGCTGTTGTGGGACTTTGACGAGTCCTTGGCCGAGCAGGAGGACTACTGCTCTCGGTGAAGAAGAAGAAAAAGAACTGGACACGGAGGCAGCGAAGGAGGGACTTGTTCCAGCAAGCAGCCCCATCACACCGGGAGTTTGCTGAAAGTACCTAGGCTAGACAGGATGCTACAATATGTGTCAGACCACACACGGGAAGGTAACTGGCCAAACGGGGAGAGAGAGACATGTATCACCAACCAGGGGTCATAGTAAAGGCGTTTTGTTTCATACAACGATTTTCATCGAATTCGATCTTTGTGATTCCTCGGTGGCAGCCTTGGAAAGAAGGGAATTGGATGGATGGACGGTCGCCATCCAACTTCGACGGATTGTTACTATAGAGCAAATAAGGCCCTGCCAGCCAGCCAGCCATCTTATCCATCAGGCGTCGTCCTTCCTGGAACGCGTCCCACGATGCTAAGCCGAATGGAACGTGAAAGAGCAGCTCGATTGAGAAGAATTAGCGAGGAAAAACAAAAACCATAAGTTCAATATCCAACCACACAGCGCCCAAATTCGTCCAGCCCAGCAGAGCAATTGTGTGCACCCACCGCCTCCAGGTTTCTAATAACGACCCAACCGAAAGACACGGGCAACTGCGAAGACAAGAACGAGCGTGCGGGAATGCCTCGCAGAGTCTCAATTCCCCGGCCCCTTTACTGCGATCTTCCTCACCCAGACTTTGAACTTTTCCTCTACCCGTCTCTCCTCACCGCTCCTATCGACATCGACTCGCTCAAAGCTCTCTTCCCGAACGAACAGGCCCCAACTCCCCAGCGTCTCCAGATACTGCTCCATCGACTCGTCCTCAAGGCGTCTGTATCCCTCGTTTTGCCAGCCAGGGAGGAATTTAAAGTGCCATGTGAGGTACAGGTCCTTGGCGTGACGGTTTGCCAGAATCGGCGTGGTGAAGAACTCGATCTGGTCTTGTGAGATGCTGGTTGTGACTGGTCCTTCAGCTTTGGCTTTGTCTTCCGGAGACTCTTCAAACAGATCGGCAAACCCATCTGGGTCGGCGTCCTTGGTCTCTTCAGTGCGAATGAGGGGAGTGACAGTCTTTTCCCAATAGACCGCAAACGTCGCGACTCGTTTCACTGCTCTTTGTCTTTTTGCAGCCCGGAAAGCTTTCTTTTTCAGATCCACCAAGTCTCGCTCGATCCATACTCTGGCTTCAACGGTGGAGTCTTCGCCAAGGACAATGTGTTGCTCCATCAATTCGTAGTGTAGCTCAGTTTGCACGTTCACTCTGTCAAGTTCGGTCCCGTTCTTTGACGATGCATACTGGTGAATGGCAGATATTATCTCTCTGACTTTATCCTGCGCCCTTGAGACGTTGTAAGTCTTCATGAAGTAATAATGGTCGGCATTCTTGTAAATCTCCACACCTATGAATGTGCCCCAGACGGTGTATCTGAAGACTTGTCGATCCTCGTCTTCATCAGATGTGGCTCCCGACGCCGCATCGCCTTCGCTATCCGACTCGCCTACAGCATCTCGATCAATAATTGTAGGGTCTGTCGCTACTTCCAGTTGCTGATCTCTCTTGATTTGCATCTGCCGTAAAAGCTCTGGGTCGAAACCTTGACTCTGCAAGGGCTGACTCTTCTTGAGCTGCATCTGCTTCAGGAGTTCTGGGTCAAGCTTTTGTTGATTGGATGCTGACTTTTCGAAACGCTGGCGTTGTAACGCATGAGTGCCTGCTTCTTTTTGGCGCCCATCTTCGAGACGGTTTATTTCGTCAATATCCTGTGCTTCTTCCATATTTGATTCCTTAGGCATTCGGCCGCGAGCCCTTGTCACCGATAAGACATCGTGTCCAGCCCCAAAGACAAACTCCGCACCATCGTCTTCTTCACTATCATCTCTGTCTGCGTGCTGACCAGCACGCTCGAGCTCTGTTTCAATCTCAGCAACTCGGTTCTGAATTTCCTCCACTTCTTCTTGGTCAGCTGTTTCAAAGAGTTTTAGCTGAGCTCTAAGTTTCTCGATGAGTTCCTCTTGACGATTGGCTTGCGTTTGTCGGTTCTTAACCGGGTTGCTCTTCGGTGGCTTACTTCGGATAATCTGTGCCCCTTCGCCTGCAAAGCGGACTTGTTTTTTATTGGCATTCTCTTCTTTTCGTTCTTTAGTTCGCTCCTTCCTGTGGCCTTTGGTCCTCGCGTTGTGCCGCTTAGTGCTCCGCGTACTACGTAGCACTCCCCAGTGGTCAATTTCCTCTTGGACTTTGGGTGTTTCATCGTCGATGATATCAATATGCTTTTGACTGAAGGTGCGCCTCATTTCCGTTAAGACTGCAACGTCGCTCGGCTCTTCCGAGATTTCTGCTGCCTTTTGTACCCGTCTCCTGATATTGTCGCGAATGTCTTGGATACGTGTCCTTCGCATCTTGCCGGGCTTCCCCTGCTCAATGACGAGAGTAATAAACTTCCCAATCTCATAAAGCTCATTGGTTTCCGTCTGTATAGTTCTTTCGGTTATTTCGCGGTCCGAGAAGCATCGTAATTGTGCGAATGTCCAGAACACCCCCCCAAGAGCGTCTAGGTCTCTCTTCCTTTCCTTTGCAACTTCGTGTTTAACAATCACTTCTTTCTCCTCTTCCGAGTATTGGTCAAAATTCTTAGGGAGGGTTAAGCCTCCACTGGGACCTGGAGGAAGGGACGATGCTGAATGTGCGGTCGGTTTTTGCCTCACTTGGGATTTTATGTCTCCAGGATCGATAGGCGATGCGCCTCGCTTTACTGTAAGCGTCTTATGGCTAGGAAGGGGTCGACCGGACACCTTGGACTCGCTCTGATGGTCATCCATAGCTCCTCGCTTCGCCGCCAGCATCTCAAGACCAGAGAGAGGCCGAATGGATAGACAGCTTTTGTCTTTATGTCCAGCACTAGCCCTAACACCCAATCCATTTTGTTCTCTTTTGGGTTTCAAAGGGTTCGCGCGATCATCAGGTGTTTTTAGAATATCACCGCGTTGGGCTCTAGGGTCAAGGCCGTCATTTGTGGTGAACTGATCACTTAGGATCAAGTTGCTCACGCTTCCCCCAACCGTTAGCCTGGAACATTCAGCCTGTTCTGCCTTACAGAAGCGCTTCTCTTTTGCATCTAGACTTAGCCCTTCAGAATTTGAGGCTAGACCGTGGCAGCCTTCCACGTGCAAAGGTGGAGATTTATTTCTGAAGGACTGACGTTCATTGTCACTATTCGACTGTCGGCTTCGCGTGCTGGCATCCCTCGTGTGTTGGTCTGTCCTGTTGTAGGTTTGATTAGTCAGTACCCTGGGGACTGGATCGGACTGCTCGCTTCTGACCTACTTCAATTCGTCGCATATCTCTGTCCGAGCGGGTCCTGAGTTCTTTTTAATATGCTCTTGTACCATGGGTCCCGAGTCCTTTCGAACATGCTCTTGCGCTATATCCAAGAGATCATCCCTGCTCTGCGCTTGGGGGTCATCGTCAGAAAACAGGTCGTTGTTCGAATTAGTATCAACATCCGCATCAGAAAATGCCCCACCCCGATCCGAGAATAGGTCGTTATTAGAGCCGTTGTCGGCCTCCGTGTCAGACAATACGTTACTTTGCTCCGAGAATAGGTCATTGCTGGAGCTGTTGTCGACATCCGCATCAGATAGCGTCTTGCATTTTTCCGAGCTTGAGCTACTACTCGGTAACGCTAAAAGCCCGCGTCGCCGTAAGGCTTTCTCTCGGAGTTCTCTGCTGCGTTCTGCTCCAGCTTCTTGTTCTTTGAGCATACATTCGCGAGCTTGCTTCAAGATCCATTCTTCTTCAGTTAACTTCGGAGTTGAACCCTTTTTGGGTGGCGCTGCTGCTTCTGACGTCTGCTTGCCCTGATGGAATCTCGATAACAACTTTTTCAGTCGCTCTCCCTGTTCATCTGCAGTCTCACCTTCACCGGAATTCTCTGGACTCACAATCTTTGACCAGTAGCCTTGGTCTTCATGGTCAGCATCTTGATAGAAAGATGAACCGGGATGGGGATCAGGAAGGAAACAATTTTCGTCATCAGTGAGGGGGAAGCCACCGTGAAACGGATTGACGAATCCAAACTGATTCTTTGTAAAGGTCTCGAATTTTTGATTAGCGATTTCGCTCGCCTGTTTTGTGGGAACAAGACGACGCTTCTTCTTTGGCTCCGGCAAGGAGGGTACGGGACGTTTGTTGAGAAGGTCCTTGGACTCGATTGTTGAAGGGTCCGGAAGTATTGAACGAGCCTTGTGATTTGATGGAGAAAGTGACCGATAATTGGTGAAGGCACCGTGAATTTCTGCCAATGAAGGCTCCATGTCGAGAGCAGGAAAACTCGAGTCCGTCTTAGGATTGGGCAACGAGCGAGGAGGCCTTTTTGGTAGAATCGACTTTTCAATGTCACACGACTCGTAGATCTCGTCAGAGTCGTCAACGATCAACCAACCAGTTACCTGTGACGCTTGTAATTTGACGATCTGACGACTTTCGACTCCGGGCAGGCACCTCGCTGGTGTTGGAGCCTTAGATGACATGCTGTGCTGCGAGGCAAAAGTGATCCGAATTGGTTGCGGGTGGTCTGATGAAGAAGCAGCTGTCTGGATTGAATCTCGATACGATGAGGTCGTAGAGGTTGGCGGTGTAAGAGGATGTCGGACGAAATTACTGTCAAATTGATCGGAGAGAGGAGGGAAGTCGCTGTCGAACCTCGAGTTATTAGCCCCCATTGTTGCGAAACATTGGCTGAGACTGAGGGTGCGACGGATAGTGCTATGTATAGGTCCCGCCAAAAGCTGAAGAGCAAAGTAGCGACCCTGCAAGCAGCAACAGAGCAGAGTATGATCGAATGATGAGTAGGTCAAGTGAGCTACAAGAGATGGCTGGTCAGCTGCGCGGAGCGCGTGAGATCTGTCACTTATGCTGAGGCTTGGTGAATTGAAGATTGATGGCAGATCTCGAACTCAAGTCGCAACAGAAGTATCCAAGCGTCGCCAAGTCAACGAATTGTCCCACACTTGGATGTGCTGTAACATCGAAGAAGCTAAGTAGATGAGATAAAGTAAGTGCTGTAGTATTTGAAGATACAGACGGACTGATGAGGTCGATAACTGGAGTTGAAGTCCTAAGGACTCCGAGAAGAGAGGAGAGTGGCTGAGGTGTGCAGGAGAAATGTAGGTCGGCTGGAGGGCGACGCCGACCTGAGCAAAGAAGTCTCTTTTTCAGATCATAAATACCGAGCAGAAATGGACAGAAGATTGACAAATGGCAAAGGAAAGAAGTCTAAGATAGATCCAGCGAATGTAGTGAAACAAGAGGTAGATGAGAGTCTTTAAAGGGGATAATATAAGAGAAAATTCCCAAGGATGCCATACGAAAGATTGGAGATATTCAACTGAACAGATTCAGATAGCTGCGAGAGTCTGTCAGCTAGAATTTTGAGGAGAGTCAGGGCGGGTTTCGGAAAGTGGAAAGCGTCTGTCTTAAAAACGTGGACCTTGTTCAGGGAAGACAACCCAGGCATGTTTCCTTCTCTTGTCTCCGGAATGAATGTCTGGCAGGAAGACAGATGCGGTGAGCGGGCATTGTGAACCCAGCTGGTCCGGATGTGACTAACCCAAGAGGTGTTGGTTTTGCCCCATGTCGTGGTATGAGGCAGACGGCGTTGGAGCACCTTCTCGACTTGTGGGCATTACTGCTGAGCAGATTGATTATAGCGAGATACAGTATGTCAATGGGGGAGGCTATGGGAGAATATGGATTGAAGTTGGGGTTAAAATGCCAAGGAATGGAGCTAACGCGAGGCTGAAGGTCTAGGAGACGAATTGGGACACATCACAATCGGCCTGCCAGCCTTGCCAGAAACGACATTGTCGGTTCAAGAAGCGAGTACGATTTTATTATTTCCTCCTCGGTATTGTCAAAGTCCGCGGCTACCTGCTCAACACAATTATCTTTGGACGCGATTCCTACACTTCACGCTTCATATACGACGTCCGTACCCACGCAGCGGTTGCAGACAAATAGGTTCGTCGGATCTCTGGCCTCCTTGACCTTTAACAAGCGGTCATAATTGGATCCCCAGAAGACTCTCTGCCAGTTAGGTTCAAAACTGTGGGTATGTTAGGCACCGGAGAAATATCGTCAGGGTCAAAGGAGCTCAAGCTTACGGATTTGCTTCATTCACATAAGTGCCCGCATCTGGTCCCGCAATTTTGGCCCAGCGCTTGCTCATCTCAACGAGTTGGAGCCTCTTCTGGTGCTTCTCGGCTTCAGGTGCCTCGTCTTCCCAGTTTGTTCCGAAGCTCATTATCGCTCGGCCGTCCCGCCACGATGGGTGGACTGAAGTGTTGTCTCGCATTGCCGAGTTAACGTGTCCAACTGAAAGACGGTGTTAGGAGAAGTTATTTTAAACAGGGGTCACTACTGACTGAAATTGAATGACGGATAATGTTCTGGACCAAACTCCAACATCATGTCGATAATCTCACCTGACTTGTTAAATGCCATATCCGGAGTAAGAAGTCGAGATGAATCCATAACGTTCATGGCGATATTTGGATCCTGAAGAAATACATTGCAGTAGTCGATCCAGCGAGGAAAACTGAAGTTGACCATGGCGAAGTCCGTGCCATCAATCTGTCCAAGTCGCTGAAAGGCAGTGGAACCTTCAGACAACTCTGCTTCGGTACCTCCTGGTCGAATGAACAGGCCAGAAAAGCCATTGGTAAGGTACCCGTAGCCTGTATAACCAGCGTTTGTCATGTTCACCAATGCACCGAGGGAGCCTTCTAGGACTGGACGAAGGGTCGAATTGGTTGTAGCATTGATCTGTATTGCCGCAACCTGAATGTGGGTGGGTTCGGGATGAGTTCGATAAGTCACCGAGGTTATGACCTACTTCCAGTCAGCTTGAACGAGCCTCATCCCTCTGCTCCATGTGGACTAACACCCCATGTGCTTCCTCCTCCGCCACGCAAGGCATAGAAGTAGTCCGGATCAGTATACTGATTGACAGTCACATGTTTTCCCTGTGCGTTGACCAATTTGACTTCCAATACATCTGCCACCATTTCGTCAGCGATGTCCAACGGCCGATGATACTGAAATAAATTACTATCAACGCCCAGACCATAGAGATTGGACCAGGCAGAGTGACCGCCCCCGGTCAACCATCCTCCGGCAGCGCCAACTGTCCTTGCATGACCGCCAACCACGATAACCCGCTGTTCAGACGCAGCCCGATACACATCTAGAGCTGTTAGCAAAGACACCAATCGGTACCTGGAAAACATATATATACCTAGCCACTGCTCCCCTGCTTGCAATGTAACGGCTGGAACACCTTGGCTCCCGGCAGGAGCTCCCTCGACGATGTAGCTGTCTGTCCATTGTCTTCCTTTCAAGTTATGAGTCCATATAGAGAAAGAGCCTTGACCACTCGACCGTCCGAGACTATGCCAGGGCTTAGACATTACGTATGTCAATCTCCCGAAGTAGACTTACTGGTCATGACCGGTATTCTTCACCACAAGGTATAGATGCTTCTCGTTGGCGAATTTGACTGCGGCTTCGATGTCTGCTACAGTTGTCGCCGCCACAGAGTAATGTGGAACTATTAGCATCAGCATCGACTTCAGAGACTTTAAATCCAATTTCGGCTCGCATTACCAAACCCTGGTTGGCACGGTGTAGTCCTTGACGAGTCGATGAAGCACTGCTGGTTGCCTAGCTCCCATACGATAGCCGTATATGCCCCAGACTGATTAGTTCTCCAAAAACTATTGTCCCATTCCTGTCTTGCCTGCTTGCAACCTTCGGCGTCAAAGTGTTCTTGGTGGCAAACAGCTGCTGAGGGAAAGGTTCGTACGAGACGGCCTGAGATACTGTTGTTAAATTTTTGCCATGCCTGCATATCAGGCCAGCAAGGGTCTCCATATCTGCAGCGTGGTCGGCGCGGGGGCGTAGAAGCCCAGCAGACGTGTGGAATAAGGAGAACCAAGATGTATTTGAGCATTATGATAAGCATTGCAGATAGCACCGCTGGGGTTCAAACATGTATTCCAAAGTGGATATTGAAGAGGCAATAAAGCAAACTTATATACTTGCACACCTCGCTTTGTTGGCAGTTCGATTTGCGAATCGTTACCACCTAATTGCGTGAGGACGCGAATACGAGCCGTTCGATTGTGGAAATGCTAGACATCAAGGAGAGGAGCAAGATAAAGCATCCAGTGGGTTTGCATATTCCCAAGCAGCATTTTTCAAACGCAGTATTTTTCGTATTCGAGAGAGTGCCAATTGAGGGGTCGGCGTCAAAGATCCAAGTTGCCTGGAGTCAGCCTCGCCGGCCAGAAGTATGACGCGGACTCGGCCGTGGCACCAAGATCCCAGGATACGAATACGACGGGATAGCGATCTGCAGAACATTCGATGAGGGCAATCAGCCAGGCCAAGGAAGTGCGGGAATGGGGCAAATGAGAGGCAGCCTTGAAATAGGCTGGCAACATCAGTGAGAAATAGAATAAAAATGGGAAGAGAATGAAGTCAAGTTTTGCATTGTCGAGCGAAAGAATGAGGATGCCAAAAAGGGTTTAGCTTCAATTAAACACGACGCGCCGAACTTGACGCGCTGAAAGGCCCAGACTGCCTCAACAACCATTCAATCATCCAATATCTTCCCCCTTCCCCAACCAGGTCCCAACGCCATGGCGCCCAGAAGATCTGAAGAGCCCAAACGATTTGAACCTCAGCCGCTGCTGACTCCTCTCAATGACGAAGCGCTTTTTCTCCTCGGCCAGCTCCAACAAGAGAGAGACCGCGAAATGAAAGTCCGTGAATATCTGAAAAGGGCCGCAGAGCGTCTCACAGACATTACAGGAGAACTCAACGATCGGGCCTACCTCTACAAGATCAGGCACTCCAAAATCATAGCTCGCCGCATAGACGCTAGGGGCACCGAGAATGCGGCAGAAGATAACACAGAGGCGGATGCGAGATACGAAGAATTTCAACAAAGGGTCGCGGCTCTCACGAAGAGGATGGACTTGAGTATCCGCGGAGTCATCGACGATATGGCCTGGCTTGCCAAATATCCTGAGACTCTCAAGACGGTCGTGGAGAAAGCGCACGACACAACGGAAGAGCAGCGGAGCAATTCCCAGACGGCAAGTCCCACGCCATTAAGAAGAACCAGGCAAAGGGCCATCGTGGACGATGGTTACAGCGGCGATGAGGAGCAGGAGCGCACAGAACCCAGGTCGTCTCCCCGCCGGGCTCGCCAGATATCGCTGTTCCCGAGAATTCAACCGGTTGACACGCCACACATCCAGCTCTCAACAGCCCTGACTCAACAATCGCGGGCATGGGCATCCAAGACCCTGACAGAGAGATACGCACGCAACAACGACTACAGGGGGTGGTACCGAGTGCTGTACGACGCCAACAACCCAGGAGAATCCGCGCCTCCCATGCCCGACGAGAGTCTGTGGTTCGCCGCAGAAGAAGGACGCGGGAGCTTGTCATCTAGTCATCGTCTGCGAAGGCGTCACGCCCTTGATCGACGCTCAAGAGGCACGAGCGAAGCAGGATCTTCGGATGACAATGACCTCGAAATCGCCGCCGAGAAAACCCGGCTCAAATGCCCTATCACCTTACTCCCCTACGTCGACCCAGTGACCTCGAAGAACTGCAACCACAGCTACGAACGCGATGCCATCCTCTCGATGCTGACTACTTCGACCAGTTTCGTGCCCTTCACGCCCACCCAACTCGCAGAGCTGAGCCAGCTGGGTGACAAAAAAAGGTCCCAACGCGAAGGCCAGATCCGCGTCAAACAGGTCAAATGCCCTGAATGCAACGTCCCCCTTGTGCAGGACGATCTGGTCGAGAACCCAGCCCTGAAGAGACGCGTCGCGAGACTGCTCGCGCAGGCACAGAAGGACGATATCGCCACGAGCGACGTCGACAACGGCGACGACGAGAGTGACGGCCGCGAGGGTATAATCCGCGGCACGCAGAAACGGCCTGTAGGCCTCGGCTCGAGCCCTTCCCCTACTCGCAGGCACACCCCGAATCCGATCAAGGCAGAGAGGGAGTCCCGCGCGGCGGAAGTGGGGATGATTCCCCAGACGCAATTGGCGGACGAAGAGGACCGCCGCATTCCGAGGATCGCCTCGCAGCAGGAGCGGCCGCGTCCAGCTCCTCAAGGCAGAGAGCGGACAAGGAGAATGAGGCACATCATGGATGTGGATGATGCTGACGATGGCTGAGATACAATCAGCTGAACTTTGAAGTTCAAATTCAAGCTGAAATTGAACTCCCACTTGAGATAGGACCACGTGTCCCTCCGTGGAAGGTCAAATGATTGAGGGAAGGAAAGACGTGACATGTAACGAAGAGTTCCGCGTAGAGATTGACAACTAACGACCGATCGAGATTACAACACAATGCAGGGAAATGCCTCTTATCTGCAAGGCTGCTCAAAGGCGGACACCGCCAAAATGATAGCCTAGGTCAACGAATGCATTTTCTATGAGATGGCTAGCCATCGATTTATGTCAGTCCTTGTTATTCGTCGTCCGAGTCGTAGTAATCGTCATCCGGCAACAGACTTCGATATCGTCGACTAGCGAGGTCCTCTTCGAGGCCTCCCTCACTCTCGGGATCAATGTATCCTGTCCAGAGGTTAGCTCAATTCTCTGTTATCACGCAACGGGAGACACCTACCGTCACCTCCACAGAAACTCAAAGCCACTGGCAGAAACACCAACGCATGGGTGCTCGCAAGGATCACGAGCGCCAGCCAGATGCGAAAGTAATAGACCTCAAAGATCTTGCTCCTGGTGAATGCCAACACAGCCACGCCGACGAACTTGGTGACTGTGATACCGCTGAAGACACTCCCACCCACATTAACTAACGCCGCCCAAGCTCGGAGGTCCCTTGCTCGGAACTTGTGCCTTGCCCGCTCCATGATCGACTTGCTGGGGAACATGAACGCTCGAGCAATGTGTGCACAAAACTCCACTCCGATGCCCACACAGATAACCAAGTTTACCAATGATACCGCATTGAGCGACACGCCAGCCACCGCCATGACACCAATAACATCCACCACAATCATGACGACTGTCATGGCGACAACAATCCCCGTAAGTAGAGAGCCCAGTAACGAAGAAGAAATGACAAATATAATTGCAATAGCCACACATAGAAGCGTCGCAGTCAAACGAACGATGCTGCTATACTGGTCGAAGAAAATATAGTGTTTGCTGTAAGGGAATACATCGATGTTGTGACGTGCAGAAATATCATCTGCTATCCGCCTGGCTGCTGCGTACGAGTTGATAAAGTCGTCCTGGCCTTGTAAGGGTGTATGGAACGTTCGGAAATGACTTGCCGGAATATCAGTATTATTCTTGTCGATGACCACAGCATTTGAGTAGGCGGCTTGTCCCCCATTTGGACATTCTTCATCGGTAGGGGCATGAATCCACTTCCTCGCATAATAGACGAATGCCTCCCCTTCAGGCATCCCAGAGAGAGTGATGTTCCAGTCGTCTTCGCCGAAGCAAGTATCCCCATCGTCATTCTTGCAACAGTCCGAAATGGGGTTAAGCCAATAGAAAAAGTCATCAATCCAGCTTGCCGTGGCAGCATTGATATAACTGACGTTAGGGCGTTTCGACTCTTGCTCAAGAATGTACGCTAGCGAGTACTCGTCGCATGTGGTGAACCTGCCGCATAGTTCTTGTTGATGTTCTCTCGCCGTCACGTTGAGATGTCGGGTGACAAAATATACCGGTGGTCCAGATCCAAAGTAGTCGTACAGGTCGTTGAAATACTGGATCATGTACGAATCGTCAGGTATTGCAATGCGCTGGTCGAGTCCAAGTTGCACCTTCGGAACGAGCGCAATCCCGGCAGCGAAAATGGTTACGAAGAAGGCAACAACGAGGGTTTTGACCTTCTTGTCTAACAAACTTGGTGCATATACTTTGCGGACGAAACGTTGCAACCAGCCTTCCTCGTCACTGCCAAAGAAATGGCCACCAGGCATTCCCGTGGAATTAGCTCCCCTGACCGTCACACACGGAAAACAGTCTGCCCGAAGGCTCTCGACTCGTCTTTGATTGAGGGCCAAGACGGACACAAACATCGTGACCTGCAACACAGCATTGATGAATACAGCACCTGCGGCATACGCCGCGAAATTCTTAACCGCAGGCATCCCCACAAACGCGCCCATGGCGAAGGCAATCGTCTCGGTAGATGCAGACAGGAGAATACTGGGCCCCATTCTTCCGAGGGCCTTTGCAACACGCACGTCAATTTCTTCATCTGGGTGGCTGACATTGACACGTTCAAACTCGTGGACAATCAGGAAGATGTTGTCCACGCCAACGGCAAGGACCAAGAATGGAATAACTTCGGCGATGATGAGCGTAACTTTCACTCCGGCCGCAGAAAAGAGGCCAACCGAGCCAGAGACAGACATCAGCACGATCAGAATACCCACGACACCCAACGTGAACTTGGACTGGACGAAAGCATTTGCAGGGTTGCTGAGAAGTGACCTCAATGACAGAGTTGTCGAGCCCAAGGAGAGCGAGGCATAAATGAACATGACAACGTAGCTGATGGCCACAATTTTCGCATCTGTGTTGGTCGACTTGTTGAGCTCTTCTTCCAGACTGATCTCGGTATTGAAGGAGAGCCGCAGCCCGCGCGCTTCGGCGGATTCCTGATAGATAAGAAGTTCGTGCTTAAGGGCGCGCTCCCACTCTTCTGCCCTCGCCTCTCCCTCAGTGCCGGGCTGATCATTGTTGACAACCCATGTTGTGATCAATGCTTTTGCATCGGCTACGTCGTCAATGCTACCGTAGCCCCCAAGGACCCGTCCCGGTTGAAGAGGATCCATGAACTCAGGGAGGCACATCTGGTCACCGGGATGAGCTGCGCAATGCTCGATTTGTTCTTTCCAATCATCCATCAGGCCCGCACCAAACCACCCGCTGACAGACTGCACCACACATGCAGAGCCCGTTGGTTTGAAACAAATGTCGTCAAGCTTGACGCCGTTCTCGGGTGACATCATCCGCGAAATGCGCTGTTCGATGTCAAACCACCATTCGAGGTTATTGTAGTTCAAAACCGAGCTGTCAGGGGACGAGTCGTTGACGAGAAACGCTTGCTCTGTCCTGTAAAATGGACCGAAACTCTTGTCGAAGAAGGCCTTCTCTTGCGCAGCATCCGAGTTCGGACTGACCCACAGTCGGACCGGATCCCTTTCGACTTCAAATCTCAGCCACCCGAGACTAAGCAGTCCAATCAACACAATATTTGTACCAATGGTCAGGGCCGGGTAACGCGCGCAGAATCGGCCCAGGGCATGAAACCCCCGGTCCAATACCTGGTTGAGGTAATAATTTCTCTGCGGGCGATCGAGGACTCCCGCATTGTTGACGAGCTCGCCCTCATCCTCGTCGTCGCTAGGGGCTGAATCCTGGAGCAGTTGGAGCCTCTCGCTCTTCCACTTCTTGTGTCTTTGGTACGCCACATGACCGGAAATAGCCACAACAAGAAGCAGCAGGCAGATCGAGTAGATGATGATGACGGCGAAAGAGAGGCATGGAAGCTTGCCGATGTGGCAGGACTCAACCGAACTGACTGGCTCCAACGTCGGGCACACCTCGGGGCAGTCAACGCAGCTGCATCGAAACTTGGGGTTGGTATCGTTGCAGGCATAGACACGAGGATCGGCAGCCTCCATACCCTGGCCGTCTTCCGAGCGAGGCTCCTCGAGAAAATTGATCTGGAAAGGGCTTCCCAGCAACTTCTTGTCGCCCAAGAACTTGAGAAATTCTGTGTAGTTGGTTGCGCCGCCTCCGATGAAACTCATTGCCTTGCCACCACTCGCACCGTTCTTTACCTCTTTACAGCTGTCATAGAACCCACTTTGGTATTCTTTCGACCATATGTTATCCAGCTCTGTGACCACGTCGTTGCCGTTGGAGGCCTTGCCGATGTCGGTGACATTGACGAATAATGATTGATCGGGAGAGCAGGTAAATGTGCAGAATATGTTGAAGAAATTCTCTTTGCAGGCCGGACACGATGCGATGATCCTTTCGGCCAGTTTTAGATTCTTTTGGAGGGCGTCCACTTGGTCCTCGTCACAACAGACATCGGTTTCTTGCCATTTTACTCCGCATAAACCGACCAGCTTTTCGCGCACAATGTCTGGAGGCGCCGCGGCTTTTCCGTTGTCAGGACAGGGTAGATCAGAGCCGAAGAAGCCTTGTTTGCCACAATGGCCACGGATGGCGCATCGGCCGGCTTCATGGAGAGGCGTAGGAGAGCACAGGCCAAGCGGGGCAGCGGCGATGGCAGCAAGAGCTGCAATGGCAGGAGAAGAAAGGCGCATCGAGCTTGCTACCACTTCGGAGGTTGAGTGGATGTTTCCAGACCGGGAGGTTGTCGTTGGTTCGAGTCGTAGATGGTGAGCGCAGGTTATGTCATCCTGAACAGAAGAGAACGGGGGCGGCGTATAAGGGAGATCTTGGAGCGTGAATCAAAGGAGAGGGAAATGAGGTAAGAGATTGAAGGAGAGTGCTAGTGTGTAGAGAAGAGAGGATGAGAGACGCAGTCGTTTGTTGTTTTTGCAAGAGACCCAAGCAGGAATGGTAAGGGCAATAAGGGCAACCCTCTCACTTCTCACTGGCAACTGACACTGGCGATGACGAGCCGATTCCGCTCCTCGCACGTCACCACTGTTTGCTGTCATTCTCCATCCACGCTCCTCACCCACCCTCCTCATCCTCCTCACTCTCCTCACTCTCCTCGCCCTCCACCGTCTCTACTTTGACTTTCATCGCCTAGACCATCCGACCACAAAGGCGATCCTCTAAAGCTTACCAGGCATAGTTTCAGGTACCAGGACCATGCTCCGATACCTGCTACAGTACTTGAGGGCAATACGATATGAGAACGCGATTAGACACCAAACACCATCGAAATAGACATATCAACCCAATGGAATTTCATCATCTGTGCAGCACACCTCCGACCTCTCCTGTCCCTCTCTCTGTGCAATTCTCCTCCACAACTCCCCTTCATTTTTCTTTTTTGGTTTCTAGCACGGGTAAAATACATATGTTGGAAGAGAAAGAAGCGCTCAGAAACCCCGGAAGCTCCCCTATCCTTCCCAGGTATCAAGTGCCAACAGGCGCCTCAGCCTCAAGAATTGATTTGTTCAAACTCCGGCTCAAGCAGTTCCCTCAACCCCTAGTCCTTTGGCGCCTAGCCCATAATGCACATGTTCTTTCCCTGTCGCTGTAAAAACGGGTCCGCTGTGAAGATTTCTTTTCCCCCCACCCGGACAAATCCTCGCCAGCTGGTCCTCAACACGAAAAGGTTTTTCAACTCTCGCCTGTAGTGGTAGCTGGCTTGCCTTCGCTGGCGGGTTTGCTGTCGGACGCTCCGTCGGTGGGTTTGTTCTGGTAGGCGCCTCGTCCGCCACCTCGACCACCGCGTCCGCCTCGATCATCACCCCGACCGCGCCCACGTCCGCGAAACCCGCCTCGGCCTCGTCCGCCTTCGCTGTCACTTGCTCCTCCACTCTGATACCCTCCGCGCGTAGGGTTATTGGCCGACCCAGCCGCGCCACGGTTACTAGGCTGCCAGGTTCCAACTCCGCCTTGGCTGTGGTTGTCACGTTGATGAAGACCTGGCAATCGGTCGGTGCGCTCTTCGAACCACGTAAACTTGGGTATTTTGCCCGAAGAATTCTTGTGGTTTTGCGCTTCGACCTGCACTCTAGTCAAAGCAGCGTCCGCAATCTCATGCGTCTCAAATTGCACCTTCCAGTTGGGAAATTTGCCCATTCTGCTGATAGCTTTGATCTTTTCACGATCTTCGTCCCCAAAGCAGTCTCTGATGTGTTGTTCACTGTCTGCCTGGGACACATAAAGGGCACTGGAAGGTTTACGCTCGGTGGGAGGTGTTGTGGCTTTGACCTTAGCGGCTTCACCGTCACCGGTCTTCTCTCCGCTCGTACCATTGGTCGCTGCAGTGGCAGAAGTCGTTGGTATCCCAGAGGATGACGGTTGGGGCGTCAATGGCTTAGCCTGTGCCACAGGCGGTGCTGGAGACCCAGCTGTAGGAGGAGTTCCAGTTTTGGCAGCAGGCATTGGTGCAGGCTGAGTAGGTTGAACGGCCCTAGTCTGTTGCTGATGTTGTGGTTGCGGTTGTTGCTGCGGGAAAGGCTGTGTCGGTGCAGGGAAGGCGGGGGTGCGGTTCTGAGCCGGACCAGTCGAAGCAGGAGCAGGGGGCACAGGACCCGTAGACAGTGGTTGAGGAACCGGTGGAGGAACAGTGGGTTTGCCACGGTGAGCAAAGTTGAAGCCTTGCGCCCGCATCTCCGTACCGATACGACCACCTTCAATTTCCAAAACAAGGTAGCCGAATGCAGCGTCCGCAAGGTTGAAGTTCCACATGTTCTTGAAGGCGCTTTCGTCCACTTGGCCCGCGCCCGGTCCACTGGCCACAGGCGCGCCAAAAGGACTCCCTCCGTTAGCAGTGCTGGGCATCTTCTCCACAATTTCCAGAGCGCTGTGAAGAAGAGCCTTGTGATTAGTGTTGTTTTCAATCGCCTGTTCCACGTCCATCTTGACAGTCTCCCACACATCCTGGAAGGATGCTTTGGACGCCGCCAACTTTCCACGGTAATGATCGAGGGATGGGTTCACAGAAAATTCGTTGTAGGAGCTGCCGTATCGGAAATGTAGACCTGCTGAAATTGAAAAGTCGGCCTTCAGAGTGACGGAGAGCTGGTTGAGGATTCCGTCTCTGGCAGGTGACGCGTGTGTCAAAAAGATGCGGGTTTCTGAAGGATCGTAAACGCGGTTGGCAGTGTCGATCAGAGCGCCAATCTGAAGCAATGTCGTCCACATCGTCCCTTGACCACCTGCAATATATGTCTTGCCTTCGCCGTTGTCAAATAGCTTGTGAATGACAACTGCGCCGCCGAGTCCGAGGAGTCTCAGCTTCACCCCACCGATATCGAGTAATCTTGAATTGACCTCATCGATAATGTGCAGATTGTCTACCTTGTACTCTCCCGACCGAAAACGTTCCAGAACTCTCACGTCTTCGCAGGCTCCCCACACGGTGTAGACAGGAACATCCAGGGTGATTTGCTTGTTGAGCAGAAGGGGTAATTCTGAAAGGGGCAATTGATCAGGTGTGAACATTTGCTTGATCGGCCGCTGAGGCTGGGGCTGGGCGATTTGGCGCTTGACATTTTCGCTGAGAAGGGGGGAGTACTGAGCGACATGTTTCAGTGTCCTAAAGTTAGTGTAAGCCATCATTTACAAATGCCTGACCTGGAATCTACGCCTTACTTCTCGGCTATTCTCTCCAGCGAGGTATTGTCATAGAATCCAAAATCGCCGGTATGTAAAATGTAATCGGCCTTCGCGGTCTTTGCGAGCTCATTCAGAGATCTGAGGTTTCCTGGATTTTCTTGAATCAGACCAGACTTGTGGTTGGACGAAGCACTGCCGACTGACCTCTGACATCTGCAATACACAGCACTCGAATGGGACCGGACTGGATGATACGGCCATTATTTGGCAAGAGCGCCTGGGCTCCGGGGGTCGGCCCTGATGTTGTGCCGTTTGGGAGGTATCCTTGATTTGGGAACTGAGGTCGTGGCTGTTGACAGATTTGAATCAGCGGAAGTGCTACGGGGGTCATGAATGGGGGGCCCATGGTCGCAGATAGTGGGACAGAGGAAGAAGAGTTCAGAAACGATTTCCTGATGAATATGAGGAACAGGACTTACTGAAGCCATGAGTGAATGGCAAACGGGAGGTGCGGGACAAAGGTTGTGGTTGTAAATTGAGGCCGCAGCGCAGGTGAATCGTGCGGCAAGTTTGAGAGGTCCGAGAGAGGAAGGGAATGAAAATTAGTATTAGAAATTTGTTTGCTGGGTGACGAGATCAGGGCGCGCTTTGATTCAGAGATAACGGAGGGTGAGGCAAGAAGAACAATGGTCGAAAGATGATGAGGACTCTGTAAAGGCTCGACTGTTCAGAACTGTCAGGTCGTCTACATACACAAATTCACGGGCGAGACCCCAGGAAAGCAAAATCAAGCGGCAAGAGCTGCGGCTGCCTGAATGGGACTAGGCCTCTTGGCATTCCGCCCCTTTACTTGGTATTCGCCAAGTCGCGTTCCCTCCTCGTCTTTCGCACGGCGTACTCCCTACCATCTCCAGTAGACAAGACGGAATACTTTGTATCTGAGCTAGGTGATATAGTTGTTGCTGCTGCTACATCTTCCACACGTCTGGTGCGGAAATTTTGTGAATGAAAGGTCACCGCCAACATCACGATAAGTTGGCGGGCAGACCGACGTTGTTACATGTAAATGGGTCAACCCTTTCTCCCAGCAACCGCAACTCCAGATCGTTTCGTCTCCTTTGTAGCTTCATAGCACACATGCAGACCAGGTATATCCCGAAGTCATCCGTTTTTGATGGTATAATATACCTTCCTGCAGTCCATCCCTAATAAGTCCGAAAGATCGTACCTGAGCATACCATTAAGGTCACGGTTGAGGGCCTTGCTTCATGTCTAGACAGCACCCAAGATCTTGTCAACGTCCTTCTTGTCGACAACGGCACCACCTTCAGAGCATTTGGCCTTCGCGCGAAGCTCACTACACAGGTTATCAATGTCAATCTCGCCATTTCGGAATTTCTCCATCGACTGCAATCGATCCCTATCATTGATGTCAGCGGTCGTTGGACCAAATCTCGTGGATTTCACCAACCAAATCTTATTGCATGTCATTGGTTTCTCATTATCAGGAACGACTTCTTCATTGCCGTTCTTAGCCTCTTCGACCTGTTTCAGAAGGTCGGTTTTGGGCGCCGGTTCCGGCGCCACGTCGTTATAGTTGTGGAGGGGACTGCCCAGGTCCGGAAGAGGATAGGCATCATTAAAGAACGCCCCAAAGTCTTGGGACAGGATATTTTCTTGCGTCTCACGATAATCGCCAAACAGGATTGGGTCAAAAGAGTTGTTGTTCTGCTGAGCAAGCCAGTTGATGCCGTTGACGTCGAAGCCAGGGTCGTTAACATAGCCTAACGGAATTTCGTCAGACATTTTCAAGATTGGAGGTATTGGATCCTCCGCGCAGCCACAGGCCAGCTGGAGTTGATTGCAGAGATAGTCCTTACCACCAAATGGAGCTTGATTTTCTTCGCTGATAGGGTTGAGGTTGTATTCAGTCAGCTTGTTCGCGGGAGAGTTCAAGCTCGGCTCTGGCGAAGTGCCGATCGACGATATGGCATTCTGTGATTCAGTGGACGAACTTGGGGAGTCGGAGTTGGAAATACTCGAGTTCGAGTAGAGTCCGGGCATGTTACCCGAAACCCCATTGTCGAGGCTGCCACGGTTATTCTGGGTGGCGGCGTTGTAGGCAGAAAGAGCAGATTTCGGAAAATAACTTCCCAGGCTAGCGTGGCGGCTGGCTTCCAGAATCGACGGGCTAAACAGTCCAGACAAGCTGTCAATACTGCCCTGGTGCTCTTGTTGCTGGCTTTGAGCCTGGGGAGAGGCGGTAAATGTGTTGCCAATGGGCGACTGGCTCAGAGATCCGTATCTTGTGGGTTGGTTCTGCGAAGTAGAGGTGGAACGGCGGCTGGCAGCGTTTTGATTCCCGGGGGTCGCACCTGGGGTTGGAATGGACGCGGATCTGCCAGTATTGTTGCCCTGCGGTTTCTGCATGTTCGAATTGCCAAACAGCTTCGTCGCAGGCATTGGCGGCAGATCCCCGAACTTTGGAAATTCAAACTGGAAGTCGTTGCCATTAGGATTGCGGCTTTGGCTCACTGCGACCGGCTGCGATCTATTCAAGCCATTACTGCTGATCCACGAGAGGCGCTTGCGGTATTCTTTCAACTCGACTTGCAAGCGCTCCACCTGAGCACGAAGGAGGCCATTTTCATGGTTGGCCGACTCCGAAGCCTTTTCTAAGTCTTCCACTTTCGTTTCTAGATCCTTAAGGTGCTTCTCCTTGCGCTCCCTAAAGGCTCGTTGCGCGGCGCGATTCTGGGCCTTGCGCTTGGAGGTAGGTTCCGAGGTCAATGGTTTTCTTCCGGGCTTTTTGGCAGTCTTGTCCTCCCCTTCTCTTCTCTTGCCCCCTCCTTCATCGTCATCTTCTTTTCCGTCGACACTCTTTCGCTTATCATGTCGTTCGGCCGAAGCCGGCTCTCCGGGTATCTCACCGATCATGCGACTATTCTCATCGAAGTCAAAAGATTCGTCTCCAAAGTCGGCATCGGGATCGAAGTCTAGAAATGGGCTGTCATCGCTGAACTCGAGGTTACCTGAGCCAGGAGCACTGGACATGTTTGGAGTAAAGTTGAAATTCTGCGGGGTATTCTTCTGAGTGCTTGATGTCGATTGTCTGGGCGAGTAATTCGCATTCAATGTCGCCATAAGAAGCTCTTGCTGATCTGGGGACAGGTATAGACCCTCAGTAGACAGTCGCGACATTGACTTCGTTGAAGTTCTCTAGGGGAGTCGGGAGGTGAATTTGTTTAGGACCGCGGGCGCCAGACCAAAGTCGTAGGCACGGAGGCGGCGGAAAGATCAGATTGTAAGGTACCAAACGGTTGCCCCCCTCTACTGCGTCAATAGGCAGTATCAAGAGGCGGCTCCAAGGTTGCGGATTTGATTCCAAAGGATGTGGAGGAGGGAGGAAAATGGATTGAGGAATGAGAGGAGGGTGGGATGGAGGGTTGATGGCGCGGAAACGAATAATAAGCGGGGCGTTCACAGCACGGAAGGCCAGCGCCTCACCAAAAAAAAAAAAAGGGTAGAAATGACTCGGTAAAAAAGCTCAATGATGGCAGAGTTGGATGTAATATGAGAAGGCTGTAGGACTGCGGGACGGACAAATGGGATGTAAGTGGCTAGGGGAAGAGGAAAAGGCGAGATGCGAAAGGGAAAAAGAAGGGGAAGGAAGGGGATTGCAAAGTTGCGATGAGATCAATCCATCCGGAGTTGTGGGTGGCAGAAGAGAGGCACCATGTACTGGGTAAGTGCAAGGCGCAGACGCCGTAGCGTCAGGTTATCACTGGAGGAGATGCAGGTGAGCAATGAACCCTGCCAAGGACAAGGAAACCCAGAGGTGGTGGTAGTAGGTGCCCCCAGTTGGTGATGCTCTTTACCCGGAAGCCCCCAAACCGCTAAATGGTTCTCGCTAACTGCCTCTGGACGGTGTGAATTGCCTAGAGGGGCTTCCCGGGGCATACCTAGGTGTTGCCTAGACACTGCCTAGTCCAGATATCGGGTGCCCCCCATTGACTCTGCTCGTGCGGCTATATATTCCCCTCCTGGACTGATTGCCTCTACTGCCTCTCCACAATAGCCCTGCGCATACTGTACCATAGAACTTCGTACAGCCATCATCTTCCCAATCTCTTAGTTGTCGATCGAGGGAAACCACGCATTGGGCCAGGGTCAGATGGTGGCGATTTGTCTCGGGACTGGCAGCAGGAATGGGCAACGCAGGCAGCGTGTGAGTGGTCCTCAAGTTGATTTCTAAGCGGCAGTGAGTCGCGACCGATCCATGCCATCCACGGCGCTCCATCCCAATACCGACTGAGTATGTTGGCGAATCAGCGATGCTGCCTGCTCACTACCACTCTTCCACACGCAGCCTCCAGCCCGTCATCCTGGCCGTCCACCAATTGTCGTATCGGCTCGCCTGCAAATTTACTTCGCCGGGATACGAGCGTGACGGGTCCGGCGTGGTACCTTTTGCGCCATCTTTAAAGTCGCACTCGCTGTGCCAGTTTAAGTTCTCACCTGGGTGTTGGTGGCTCTTCAGACCGACGTCATCATGTCTACCTACCCGTGCTGTCCGCAGTCACCTGAGGCTGTTGAGGGTGAGCACTTCGCCATTGGGATACGCTGTAGATTCTTCGAGTAGAACGGAGGACGCGACAGAGGGATTTAAAGGCACACTTACCGAGGGTAGGCTTGAGTGGTGGATGGGCGAAGAGTGAATTCAAGACGCTTGAGAGAACGTTGAGTTCAAGGTTCGTGTGCGCCAGCGAAAAGGCTTGGCGAGGCGTAGGCAGTCTCTCCGTCCCTGCGATCGTCAAACCGCTTCATGAGAGACCATTTCCACTCGCTTTCGAATTGAGCCTCACTCTCCTGCGTGCTTGTAGATTTTGGTCACGAAACCGCCGTCTTTCCTTGCACCCTTCTTGTGCCTGTCGCCTGCCAATCCTTTCATCATGAGTAGTCCCGAGATCGCGGCCCTCGAAGGCGAAGTGAAGGAATACAAGCTACAACTGGAGGCGGTCCAGCTGAGTCTGCAAAATGACCCCGATAACAGCGAGTTGCAGAGTCTCAGACAAGAACTTGAAGAAGTCATTTCCCTTACCGAATCCGCCATTGCAGAACTAAAGCCTCCATCAGCACCACCTCCGCCTGCACAACCCGCCACGCCGCCCGTGAAGGAAAAATGGTCCAAAGAGAACCACCCTGCATATCAAGCAGGTTATCGGAAGCCCGAGGTCGAGTCAGAAGAAACGAGCGGTCCTACGACGTTTGCTGTCAACGACACGGTATCGGCCAGGTGGAAATCCGGCGACGGGGGATATTATACAGCGCGCATTACATCCATCACAGGTTCATCCAGTGACCCAGTCTATATCGTAACATTCAAAAACTACGGCAATACAGAAACGCTCAAAGCCAAGGACATCAAGCCGCTGACCTCTGAAGGCAGGAAGCGTAAGGCTGATGGAATGTCAGGATCATCCACCCCAGTTTCTCCGCCCTCGAATCCAAATGTCATTTCAGCCGCAGCCAGCGTTGATCTCGCTCTGGCACAACAGGCTCGCCGTGAACCAAGCAAAGTCAGCGACGGGCCCATTCGACCCGCGAAGATACCTCGCAAGGTCAAGGCCAACAAGGAGCTGGAAGCGGGCAAGTCCAAATGGCAAGATTTTGCAGCCAAGAGCAAGGCCGGGAAAATGACCAAGAAGGAAAGCATGTTCCGCACGGGTGAAAGTGTCAACGCTAGAGGTAAGTGATTTTTCGTGCCTTTGAACAGCGAAGAATTCGACTGACTTGTGTTCAGTGGGGTTTACCGGCAGTGGCCATGAGATGCGCAAAGATCCTGCAAGAACGCGACACATTTACCAACAGGGCGGCCAGGATGACTGAAAATGAAATTGGGAGGAACCCTTGATTCTTGTCTTTGCCATCAGTATCTACCTTGCTTGCTTTGAGCGTTCATGGGTTTTATAAGGCAAACGCTGACAGGATGGCAAAATGCAGATTCAGCCACGTCATCACGAGCGTTGTACAGAACGGAGCAGGCGTAGATCTACAATGAGACAAGTATCTTCCTTATCGGCGTTACGACAGTGTCTGACCTATCAATTTTTCCTTTGCAGGATAGCACCTCGGCGTTGAAGCTGAGAGAACATCTGCAACTCACTGATGACCGCCGCAACCAAAGTTAAAGCAAGCGCATCATCCTGTCGGTTGATTCTTGTCTATTTTGGACGTCGTCCGTTGCACAAGTGTTCTTTCCACCGGTCACGTTGGCGTCTCCTGAATCCACGAATTGCCTTTCTCGTCCGCCGGACAGTCTTGTTGACAGCCCCTGCCCTACCCTTCAACGGAGACCTTGGAGTTACAATCCCAGTTTCAGGAGTTTTACCCTAAACGTCTGCCCATCCACTGCCGGCAGGGATATGGTCCCCAGTACTGCATGCAAACTTCGTTTCTGGAAGCCTGTTGTCCCGCTAAGGATGCCGCAAGTCGCAAAAAGCTGCGAGAGCCGAAAGCCGCGACAGCTGTGCGCTGTGTCTCCCATGTCTGAGGCGGAGACGGCCCATAGTGACGGAGCGAGGAGGATCTGCTCTTGACTCGAGCAGATCTAAACGTAAACAGCAGCCTTTTCGTTTATAGTCCACCCTGAATTCTAAAGCTGCTCACCACTAACACAAGCATATTTATCACTCCCCATAACAGAGGCGTCCAGGTACTCATCCCAAAGTAACCCGCGTTGTAGACCGCACCCAGCACCAGCCCTACCAAACTGCCGGCCAACAAGGCCTCGCTTGCCCCAATGACAATATACACGACAGGCACAATCCAAACCCAACTCAGCGTCTCCCCGATCGGATTGTCGCCCAGTAACTTCCTGTTCTTCGCACTCAGCGCCCTCCCCCACGGCGAATTGAGGTACTTGCGGCGCTGGTCCGCGGACGCAAATTGCATGAGCACGGCCCAGGTGGCGACGCAGGCGTGCGCGGCGACCATGGTGATGAGCGTCCAGTAGAGCGTGTAGCGGTAGATGTCTGAGAGAAAGTACAGGTACTGCGCTTCGCCTGGGTCGGCGTGGACGGGCCAGTACAGGGCCGGGAATTCGGGGGTCTCGTAGGAGATGGGCACGCCGGCACCGTAGGTTGTCATTTTTTCATTTGGGGAGGCGATGGGGCCAGTGATGGGAGGGGAAAGTAGAAAGATTAGGGTGTCTCGAGGGCGGAGGTGCGTGACGGGCTCATCGTCGCGTTCGCGTGGTGGTCGGTGTTGGCTACTGTCAAAGACAATCGCAGAGAGAGCTCGTCGGTCGGAAACAGGGTCTGGAGTACGCAATCCCAGTATGGAGTTCAGCCGACGATGATCCGAAGCATTGGGAAACAATTGGTCGGCTCCAGCTCCTACCATCCCTAGATTTCATCCTGAACTCAGCCTAGCAAACGATTTGCTCTTCTCTCGACAAAAAGGACACAATGGGCTCAGAATTGCGAGCGGGAAGCTCACACTGCGAGCCACCCTCCTGCGCAGTCCCTCTTACCTTTCGTGAATCGTATCTACTTTTTCGAAACTCTGCGAGCGCCCGCCTGAAGGATGCTGGTCACTACTCATCACCTACCGGATTGTCTATGCACTTGTCTATGCAGTGTTCTTCCTATATTAACGACGGTGATGGCAGTGTGTTCCCTACCGTTTGGTAGAGTGCAATCACGAAGCAGTCCCAGGAAAGAGAAAGGCAGCTGCCGCCAATGATCAACCGATGGGGCAGAGTTTCCTGTCTCCCTAAGTGTCTCGGTATGAACGAGTCGGTATGCAGGTAGCTATATTCTTCCAAGATGCTCCAACGGCCGGGTCTTTGGCAGCGGAGCCTCGAACGCTCAAGTCTCGGCGCCTTCAAAACTGTCAGGATGATATTTTTCCCGACGGTACGGTCTCAGTGAGTCTTCCCTCCATCATTTGCACATGTGCTCCAAATTCCCGTCGAGGTCTCTGCTCGTCCCGGCGCCGCATTGAATGTTCTAGACGCCATTTTCTTCGCTTCTGGATTGAAAGGCTACTTTCGCTGTTACTTCAAATCTCACTCAATCGATAACTATCGCTTCGACCCTCTCATACGTATTGTCGTGCTTTTTCTTCAGCCTTGTCTACAATGTGATACCGTGGATCACTTGCACAATGCTATATCCTCTGTTCTCCTCACGATGACCTTGACGGATTTCCGAATGAAGAGGAAAATGCCACAATGTACCCGGTGCTTCTTCCTCCTCCATCAGAATCTCTAGACCTTGAACCTGACGAGATGGAAGACAAGGAGCGTGAGGTCGATCCCAGCCAAGTGCTTGTTTCATATTTGTGAATCCCATTCAGTTTGACTTATTCCAGCACCACCACATCTATTTTTTCGTGCAGCAAGTGATGCCATACTATGCAGTGGCGGGAACCGTTATCGTCTTTTCAGTTCTTACATGCTCGATATAAGATCATTAGCACCAAACACGGAAACTAAGCTGGTAGGGAATATGAAAGATGTCGTGACGTAAGTTCTGTTTTTGATATTCCGATTGGTATACTAAGATATGAAGGATAGGAAGCTCCCCGGTCGCCCTTAATCTTTGTATTAAGCCGACTAAAAGTGTTCTGCTCGATGGTTCAATTACCAGTATTGCTGTGGATAGAGACGGTCTTTCCAGCGCAAGGCTGAAGGTTAAGGGGCTACAAAAACGAGAGAAGCCGAAATGGCAATGGCTGTCCGGCCTAGCCTAAACGTTGGTACTCAACGTCCAACTAAAAGGGTTCTCAGTATCTCGGAAGGAGATGTGTGAGTGTTGGGACTTGGATGCGGGAATAATGGCCAAGAAGTTCAAGGAGTATAGAAAGTATTGTGAGCGGAGGATGGTGGAACGAGGCAGAAGACCAGGGAATCATTTTGAGGGTGTGGGTATGTAGGGCGGTGGAGAGGAAGAGCTTTGGAGCTGTCTAGTGAATCGAGCGTGGGGGCACTTGGGGCTGACAAGAGAGGGTGTTCTCTGAGGCAATACACGTTCAGAAATGAGCAGGAATGTAGAATAAACATTTGACGAGCCCATAAAAGTGCCTCGAGACGACGATCTGACCGATTACAAAGGAGTCGGCATTGGCGATAGGCGAAGAATGGACTGACAGCACCAGAACGAGAACATTGAGATGTGAGAGTGGCAGGTGTGGTGAGAAAATATCCAGACCCGGACTTAGTTGTGGGTGCTGCGCGTGGGCGTATATAATGCAGACTCTGGATTCCTCCCGGGTCCTGTCGCGTCGCACCCGCACCATCACAAGAACTGGAATGAAATCATTCAAAGCTGAACGACATGGTCTGCAGTGAAAGACTCAGGGCCTGTCAAGCGAGTTTCACCTAGATGATGCCTGTAATCATCGACACGATGAAGGCAACCGTCGACACTAGTGTCAAGGCCAGGATGACCAGGGCGATCCAGAATGTCCAGAATTGCTGCGGGTTTCGTTGGTCCTGCCACAACTGCGCCCATCTCACAGGCGGCGACTGGAAGACTTCCTCGCAGACCTCCAGAAGGCGGACTTTCCAGTGGGGGAAATCGAGAAGGTGAAATCTTCGGCCCTGTTCGATTGGACCCGAAATGTTGTGGAAGGTCTGGCCGTTTTGTTCGAGAGTTTTGGTCCTGTTGTCCCAGAAGGGAAACAGGAGGTCTAGGGTCTGGGTGGGTCTGCATGGTCTCTGTGAGCACAATGGCTGGCACTGGAGATCCAAGGTGCGTAGTGGTCAGCCAGCGTCATCAGGTCAAGGCCTGGCTTTTGGTCAATACAATGTAGCGGCATTCGAGTTTTAACCTTCGACATGAACCTTTCTCGGCTTCGACCAACAGAGCTTGGAGGGTCTGTTTGTGCGGATAGACCCAGAGCACCTTTTCTTTCTTCTCCCGACGTTGAAGCCGGAGATGGTCCTCCAGGCTGTTCGTCCAAACCCCCTTGAGCTAGCAAATTTGAACCATGTTGTCCGCAGTGAAGGATGGGTCCAGTCGCCGCTCTTTGGCTCCCAATTCCCAGTCCTCGACGGGGAACAGACCGGCTAGGAAGTCGGCCAGCACGACGTCTCCATCCCAGTGAACTTGCGGAATTCCAGTGCTGGATTCGTCGTCTCGCACATTGATCTGAAGTCAGAGCCTCAGAGACAGGTCGATGGATCGATTGAGAAGCCAATCCTCGGCATGGCTAAAGTGATGAACCGCCCTCACTTTCTGTCGGATCTCGCTCTTTTCACAGTCGGGATGCTCGCGGAGGAGCTTGGCAATGGTGACCACGTCTTCGTGGGATTGGGTCACAATCCCCGCGATCTGATGCGTGCCACCTCGCAACCAGGCGATTTCACCCTCACGATATGTGAAATAGTCCCGAAAGGCTTCGAGTCCACCATGGTCATCGAAGGTGTCGCCGAAGAACGCTCATCCGATCAACTTGGTTTCGTCTCCGGGCGTCGTGGCAAGATTTGTTGTAGGTTCCTTGGCTCCTAGCTTCCACGTCAATCAAGTTCTAATGTTTCTTCCCGGACTGCTTAGACTTACTACCATGGTTCTGCAAGGCTTTACAAGTACCCAGGGACTGATCATGCTCACTGCCTTGAATGTGTCTCCGTGAGGCTGAGGCTGTGCAGGTGCCCCGGCACTGATGGTGGGAAACCGCGGCGCTGCACACATATCATTCTGCAGAAGCTTCCCTCTGCTTTCGCATTTCCGGAAATGCCCAGCAGCGATCTAATAGACAGCAAAGCCAGCAGGGCCAGAAGGCCCAACAAAGATGGAGACAGAGGAGACCAGCAAGCAGAACCTCGTGTGGCCTGTCTTAGTCTGCATAGCTGCGCCTCCCTAGGCAGGTTTTCCTGCTCGTCGTTCGTGCCCCGATATCCTGTATTCCTCCTATTCCCTTATTTCCTTCCCGTTTCCGACTGTTCATAACTCACATCCTTCCTGGACTTTTGCTGAAAGCTCTAGGTAACGGACAGAATGTCTAATCTTGGCCAGTTACTTCTCGATGGTAGTGGTTCGCAAGGGTCGAAGCCCGCGAGGCTACAAGCTCGTCTCCCAGTTGGATTGTTCTCAAACTTCCGTGGACTCAGTTCCCCGATATGCGACCCAGAGTCTCAAAGTGTTGACATGATCACGAACATAAGTGAACGTCCAAGGCCTTACAAACCCTTAGGTTCAAATCAGCTTTTGTTTGAACCCCAGTCATCTGGATCGGCGGTCGCGAACACATTGGGATCTTCCTCCTCTACCACCGATTCGATAGCTGCCGAAACTGACGCCTTGACTACTCCTCCGAGCACTACTCCAACATCGGTCGACTCTACCGTTATCCCAACCCCGCCCGTACATATATTCGGGACCTAGGGGATCTTCATACAAACATACGTAGATCCAAGGCTTAGCGAAACATACAGACACGAGATCAGAACTCGAGTGAGGACCGCCTTGTCGAGTACATGCAAAAGGTACACTTGACAACAGCAATTCTCTCTGGCAGGATCCCATTCTGAGTCGCTGACTCCGTTCATCCTGGTATGGTGTGAGACCCGTAACTCGAAACTTCAAACTCAGAAATATTTCAATCACAACCAGTGGCTTCGAGACCGTCTACGCGTTCTTGAGTGGAACTATCACGTACTCGACCAGACTCCTTTGATGAGTGCCAAGCAAGCCGCAAGACACCACCAGCTACTTTCGACCCTCGAAGGCTCCTCGCTGACCATTTCGGGCGATACTGTCACCTCGTGTGGCCTTGATCTAAACTTGCCAGGCGGTAAAACATGCAAGACTGGGGGCCTGGTGTTGAGCGAGGATGTTCCATATATCCAAGGACCAAGACACGGAGTTGATGACTTCCTCTGATTATTGGGCCCGAACATGACTGGGATTGAATTTGGTCCCATGTCTTCATCCAAATTTCTCCAGATCCCTTCGTCTAACTCACTTGCTAAGTCCCATGTATCCTCAGAGTCGTCTCTACTCTTCAATGATCGTCGTGGAGGCAAAAAGACAAAATCTCAAGCGGCTCCCAGAAGCTATCAAGTTAAAATCCTCTTCCACCAATATCAGCGTCGAACTCAAAACTGGATAATTGTATCGAAGATGACTGTGACTGGCTGCTTGTAGATCTGTCTACTTCACCTCCTGACGCTCTCGAGAAGGTGCTCAGACCGAACCAGATCTCTGGAACCGAAGTCCGAGGCTTTGCGGCTGGAGATGTCGAAGATCAAGGGTTTGTCACGATTTTCGTGCTCGGAGGTCTGAGAACGGGCGTCTTGACTAACATTTCCTCGACCTTGAACATCAATGGCTCGCGTTACGAGGCGATGCTAATCAGGTCGGAAAACAGAACATTGGGCCGTATCTCGGCCGTGCTGTCGGTTGGTCCGAACCAGTATCGTGAAATTCACTCCGAGTGTTTGTCTGGATACCTAGGTATGCAACATGGCATAAAATGATACATTAGATTCTGTGTGATGATTGACGAAATCAATCTTGGCCAGTGAGGGTCATAAAGTGGAAAGATAGGGATGGGGAGGGAAGCCTTCACAGATTCGTTGCCTCACCCAGTCCATTTCCAACATATATATCCTTTCTAAGATGCCAAACTTCCTTGAAAATTATGACAGAGCCATCCGGTGCTTGGGCCACAACAATGATGTTTCGTTCGTGGTGTTCATACCAAACGGACGCTTTGAGGGATTGATTCTCACTTCAACTTCCGTAGTATTATAATAGTTCTGCGGGAAAAAAAACCACTAGGTTTATCCTTCCCTTCAACCCAACACCCGCTTACCGGTGACGGATTGATGGCTTGAAGGAAAAAGTTTTTGCTCGACTTTTCGTGCCCTCTCCAAGGGGCCTTTATTGCTTCGTTTGCGCAGGCGTGATCGGCTTCGGAGGTTGGACCAGTCGAATGACCCGAGCGGCTTCGTCAAAAACACATCGTCTGGCCTATAGCCACCCCTGGGAGCCTCATTGATGAACAAAGTCCCGCTGATGAAGACATGCGGAAATCCAAGGTCGAACTCATACGACGTTTCGATCTCATCCGTCTCCTCCTTCGACAAGGACACGGACAGCGCATCGATACTGCCGGCGATAGGGTCAACGGTTCTCCCACCCACCATGAGAAAAATATATGGCGTCTTATGCATCACATAAGCCAGCGCAACGTAAAGTAGCAAAACTCCCTTCTTACTTGTAAGCTTCTCCAGCTCCCAGGATACATTCTTATCATATTCGCTCAGTGGGATGAGATTCCTACTTAGGATTATATTTCCCTCTCGCTTTGAATCCTTCGGCCGTCTAAAATCTTCCCTGGCTTAATACTCTATACGGACATAGTCTCATTCCTTCGTTTTTACATATAGATATAATGTCCCTTTTAAAATCTCTAATGGAAGTGTTTTATATATACCTTAATACACCATAAACTTTCTTAACCTATGGTCCCTTGAGTATTGATTCGCTTTGCTAACAATCTAAGTAGGCGCATCACTGATACCTAGGTACAGCATCTTCTCAACCACGATTAAATTATTTAGACTGTACATTAACTCCGGAATGATCACTGTATAGTTTCACCAACGTAGATAGAATAAGTCGATATACGTCGTCGATAACTTCTTTAAGCTCGCCTCTAGCGACATCTTCATACTCTTACTACTATTACCTCCGAAGCATTGAATCTTGTCCTTATGAGCTCCCATGTAGCCGGTGAAGAATTTGTAGCTAAGACGATCTCGTCACGATTCTTGCGGGCAGCCATCCGTTCGCCTACCCATTCTTCTGATTGACCGAATTGATATGCGTTCGCTGTGTCGATGAAGTTGCCGCCCTGCGAATAGAAATGGTTCATAATGGCGAAGGCGGTGTCTTTGCTGACTTCGTACCGTTCTGGTTGCCTCTCGGTGAAGATCATGGCGCCCAAGCAGCGAGGTGAGACTCGAACGAATGCGGAAGGCGCCAATTGGCGGTGGCGCGGAGGAACGACATATTGATTGAAAATCTGTATCAAGATGAATACTTGGATGCCTTTGAGTTCAGTGAGAGCGTCGTCGGGGAGTCAACAACAAGTCTGTCGCTCAATATATATACGCCAGTAGAGCTTACCTTTATCGGCTTTGTTTATGGAATCATCTTTCCTGATTGGGTCACCACGGCTATTGGGACCAATTCGGCCGAGGATTTCAGCGAATGAAGAGACCTCGAGATCTCCATGCAAACGCTGTTTGACGATATTCTTGGTCGGAATTATGCTAAGCTCCGTCAAATGCTTGAAGCTCATGGATATATGAAAATATGAAGCTCGTAAATAAGTCATGTCTGTCTCGCGATCTGTGGGAGTGAGTAATGCTTAAAGATGTTGAGCAGTGTCGGCCATTGGAACGGGAGAAGACAACTCAATGAGACCCAGGATATCATCCGGCATCGAAGCTGTAAACTCCTTAAAATCCGACCAAGGGGCACATCTACTTCGATTTATTCGTTGCAAAGAGCATAGCTGCCGTGCCAGTGCAAAATCAAGGGTAAATCAAGGGTAATGAAGAACCTAGAGTAGGCGCAGCGTTTTGTGTTTGGTCTTTCGTTGGAATCAGCAGCCTGAGAGTAGAGAAAAATGTCATCTTGCAGGCAAATGTCTTCGTCGGAAAGGAATCAAACAACTTGTCCACGATGGAATATTCCCCGCACTGCCCGCGGATTTTCCAGCAAGCCAAACATTTTATCAAGTCTTCGAGAAGATCCTTTCAACGGACACACGAACCAAGACCGAAGTTTTATACGACACAACTCTCCTCATCATGACGGATAACGAGTCATCAACACCTCAATCTTCAAGAGACCGTCGACGTAGCCGGTCACCACGACGGGAACGTAATGAAGATCACCCCCCGACGCAAAGACCATGGTTCCAAGTGGAAAGAGAAGCGGCGAGACGACGAGGACTCATCAAGAAGAGATAGAGACTCGGGACTCCAACGAGGCTACAGGGACCGCTGCCGACCAAGGTCGAGATCAAGATCCAGAACCCCTCCGCGAAGACGTTCACCCCGAAGAGAGGACCGAGATCGCGAGAGAAGACGAGATCGAGACCGAGACGAGCGTGAGCCGCGCGAAGAAAAGAAGGAAAAGCGTGAGAAGAAAGAGAAGAAGCCTGCTGCACCGGCAGTACCTGCGTAACCTATGATCACCGTGTGGGTCAACGACAGACTAGGCGCGAAGCAACCAATTCCATGCCTCACCACAGATCCTATCAGTGAGTACAACTCCCTAGCATTGAGAAGACTTGCAGACTGACAACGCGGCGGAGGACTTCAAGGGAGTGGTCGCCATGACAATTGGTAGAAAACCCCACGAGACACTCCTCAAGCGACAAGGTGAAAGACCATTCAAGGATCAATTGACTCTACAAGACTATGGGGTCAGTAACAGCGTACAGCTGGATTTGGAGGTCGACACGGGAGATTAAGGACGACGAGGTGTTCGGCTCAAAAAAAGGAAATGAATCCACGATTGATGGCCACGTATTGCTGTGGTGCTTTTCCATGAAATACCAGTAATGAAAGTCTCTGCAGTATGACAGGGTAGAGTGCATTCAAATTCGGAATCTTCAGAGTAAACTCCAGCAGTTTAACAGTCAAAACAGTCAATCAGCGCCAATGAAACCAATCCCTTTCCGACCAAAAGAGCGATCTCATAGCTTGTGTTGTGGTAGCTGTCGTGATCCAAGGGACTGAACAATGTATAGCGTGTTCTCCTCGCCCACGAATGCGGATAGTGTTGCCAGATAATGAGAACCTCATGTTGACGGGAACTTTGACTTGCCATTTCAGCCCAGCTTCTTGGGCGGCGCCGATGCCTTTTCTCCGAGTTCCGGCTCGGTTTCCTCGTCCGTGGAAGAGTCGTAGGGCCTCCTTCTCCTTCTTCTCGTGCCGACTGACATCTGCAGACTTCACTTCATGTCCACTCTTTGGACAGCGAGCTCCACCAGCTGGTACCGCCTGGCCGGCTGAAGTTGCTGAACTCCGGGACTCCAGTGTTGTCTTCGCGCTTCGCTCCCGTGCCGAACTGCCACTATTTCTTTGAGGCTCGTAGTTTCTTTGCAGCCTCTTTGGCATCTTGCTGCTCCACCTTATGTATGAAGCGCTCTACTGCAGCGATGGTATCCTTGTCTTTTGTTTTCTGCGCAGCCCTCAGCGGCTCCTGCAAATAATCCCCCATGCCAACTTGTCTCCTCCTGGCATGGTCTTCGGGTAAAAGTACCTCAACTGCGTCCGCTCGCTTGTGATCAATTGCCATCAGCAGCGGGGATATCAGAAACCGAGTCTTCGGGATCATCATCTTGATGACATCTATCGGTTGATTGTATTCGATGGCGGGGCACAATTCGGCTCCGCCATGGACGAGGTATCCGCCATCGTTCATGGATATTGCTCCGTGATCTAGAAGAAAGCGAATGAAGGGTCCATTCTCCGGCCCCTGTGCAATAGCCAAGCTCATCATAGACGTCCTATGGTCATCGAATGAGTAGCTGACAATTCGAGGGCAGTAGGAGTGGATTAGCTTGAGCATGTCAAGGTTTCGCGTTGTCCCCAGCGCCCTGACGATGCAGGGATTATGAAAGTCGTATGTGGGATACATAGAGTGCAGACATCGGGCGATTGACAGTTGCCCATGAGAAATGGCTGCCTTAAATAGCAGATCTCTCGCTGGTGCACCTTCTTGTTTTGCTTGGTAATAAGAAATAGGCTCGCATCCTTCCTTGGCATGGTGTTCGTCGAACAAATTCTTTAGCTCAAGGAGCTGACCAGTCTTGCATGCTTCGATCATGGCTTCCTGGTGAGGAGAAAGTGTCTCCCATGGCTTCGGCTGAGGTGCGGGAGAAGATTGAGCCATCTTGGGAACTGCCGACCGAGCAGGTTCAGACAGATGACTTTTGGGAAGAGAAGTTACCCTCGATAACTCTCGACATAAAGCTGAATTGCGAGGATATCTTTCTTTAAGCCGCGAAACTCATTGTCACGACCAGAGACAGTCATTCAGCCACATGGCCTAAAATACTCACTGAATGCGACCCGGCGCTTAGAAGCTCGGTTTCAATATGCGGCGGCCATGTGGCTACTCAAGCGTCCGCAAGCGCTTGATCTGAAATCTTTCTTGAACTTGGAACTAAATCACTCTCTGTTAGATTGCAACAACGAGTTTTGGAGCAGAAAAGCAGACGAATTACTAAATTAGTCTGTATCAATCAGGCACCCGTTCGAGGCTGAATACCGAGGTGGTGCATCAAATGTATTTACCACACTAGTGTAAATGACAGCTAACTTCAAAAGACGATCGATTTGCGATCCGTCGTGAGGAGCAATGACCCCCGGAATTATCGGAATCAGATCGTGAGTGCCTACCTCGCCCTAAGGTATTCTCGGATAGGTTGAGCTTAGGTAGCGCTTTTAGGGGCTCTAGTTAAGCAACACCTAAAGCAGCTAGAAAATTATCCTGTCAGGCTGTCAGAGCCGTCATTTAAATTAGCGCGGTAAATACATTTGGTGCACACCCTAGTATAGCATGGCGGGCTTGGCAGCACCGACCTCTTTAGCGAGATTCACCTTTGCCTCGTTTCTTGTCTACAATCCCATCTACTTCAGAATCGGATACTAACATCTACGCCAGCCGCGATGGCTTTTTTCAGATCCAGAGAGCTTTACTCCTTGACAAGATGGCGCTGCCACCGGAATTTCCCTCTACCGCCTCCGAGTTCAGAATCTCACAGGCCCAAATCTCGGGCGTGTTCAACCTCCTGAACCCCTCCTCATTTGTACAGGTTGGGATCCGCCCTGGCGACCCGCCCGGTGGTTAAGCTGCTCTCTCGATGTCTTATTCTGGCAGAATACAGCAAGGATTCGATACTACGTTCCTGGCAGGACGGAATAACCGAGTTTAAAAGTGTAACAAGGCTAAGCCTTCCTCACCAAATGACCTCGCGAGATGGAAACTAAACGCTGGTATCGGAAATGGAACTCAATCGATGCAAAACATACGATACTGACGCGTGCTCCCCACGAAAGTCTCAAGCGCCGACTAAGAGCTTGCGGAGTCGCAGATAAAACTGCAAAGACGATGCTGAAACGTCTCGCATACTTCCATAATTATGCCTAATGGACTACGTCTCTGAAGGTAAGCGCAAAGTCTGCCAAAAATGGCGCAGGTTAAAGAGGGATAGCATTCTATGTTCTTAATATCCAGTGCTATATAAGAAGTGATGATTGCTCTGTGCTGAGCTCACCTTCTGTCATTGAGCAAAACTCCATCCATTGTCCCGCACACCTCGATATACCATACCAAAAGCAACCAAAGCCTCCAGTCTCCACTACGACAATTGTATCTCTTCTTCAATATCTCGATATGTTACGGCTTCTGTCTGTTCTGTTTATACTTCTTGGATCGCATATATTATCGGTCACAGCCGGCCAATGCTTCTCAGACCAGTCCTTTGAGGCCAAAACCCTCCTGCACCTCCATACGATACAGGAAAACCATGTCGACAGCCACCCCCAGGGGAGCTTTGGGCTTGTCAAAATCTCGACTTTCCTACCGTGGATTGTCTCGTTGCTGACATCACTACATGCGGAGTCATCGGAGCGAACAACGCTCCAAGTATCTTCTACTCCTTTTGGCGTGGTTCAGGGACAAATTGGTACACTTCGCGACCAAGTCGATCCCAGAAGGCAACTATTAGGTTAACTGTTACGACGATGCCTATGGGACAAGTGTGATATCACCGATGAAGGCTACGGCAGGACAGGGAAGAACGGATGCTCTCATTGCGAGGTCTGCGGAGGCGTACGCCAAGGTTGCTAGTGGCGAGATCCTAAGTTTTGTCGAAGACAGGTTAAGTAAAAAAAAAAAGGATGGCACAATGGGCATTTTCAGACCCCTGGAGATGATGCTCCGGAACCCAATATCTGGCAAAACCTACGAGCTTCCCATTCCGCAACGCAGCCCGACCGTCACACGAATTGTCAGCATTGTTGTCTCCGAGAACTTCCAGGGATACGTGGATTGGGAGAATGGGCAATCGCCACCAGGGATGAACTTTACTCTTCTACCCCTTAACGACGCAATGTCCATGCCCGTTCCACCAATTCCTGCTGGGGCTCAGAAATATAAGAGAGATGGAAATGGCACCGAGGTGATGTCGCAATGACCCCTTGTCCTGTTCCGGCTGCCGCCGCGGTTGTTACATCCAGCTCGGTGTCCTCATCGCCAACTTCCAAACCATCATGCATCTTACACGAGCAGGACCCAGATCAAGGCATAACGCAAGCATTCTGTCTCTGCGATAGCACTGCGACTCTCTCTCCACTTTCTGTGGCATCGACGGGCCACCAGACTGACAGCTGTGCCTACACGACCATACCAGCTACAGCCGAGGAAACGCTGCCCACGGGTTGTTTCACGCCGCCAGGGGCTAAAGTTACAAGGGAATTTAGGCGGCAGCGTAAGGGCAGGGAATCTGCTAAGTTTCCTGAACGTCCGTCTGAAACAATATCCTAGCCGAGAGGCAGATTTGGCCGATCGCAAGGGGCCAGACTAGGCCCCTCGGGCCCCTAAGCCCGAACTGGCTTCTGAGAACTGGCATCAGACAAGCTCCCTACGGCTCGCCCAGTGCTCCAGCGCGCTCCCCCGTACTCTGCCGCGGCTCCCACGACGCTCTCCCGTGCTTGGCCAGGCCTCCTCGATGCTTCGTCACGTGCCCGATTAAAGCGGCCTCGCTCCCCTTCTTGGACGAAAATGGTATGGGATAAAGCACAGTTTGGGATATATATAATAGATATATATATTTCCATGCTGTATGACTTAACTGCTCATCACGTACAATGGTCGCTGAAAATAATTACGTCATTTCTATGTAAGTGTGAATGAAGGCGCCCAGAAATGGCTCTACCTGTTGAACCATTTGGTATCATGCAACGGTTGAATGGATGATTGCAAAGACCTATCTGGACCGACTGGACAAGACTCGAGTAAAAAGAGGGTTTGAAGGTGCCTACGATTAGAGATCCGACTATCAAAGCATCCTGAACTCGAGCGAATCATGCCCAACATTACGATTTGTAAATTAAAACAGCATTGCAGTATGTAGACGACGACTCGAACACCAAACTCGATGGGAGCTTTTAGTCTCACTTCCTCGTCTCCCCTCTCTCGTCGTCCTCGTCGTCCTTATCGTCTTTCTCGTTGTTGTCGTCAACTTCCATAGTCTTTGTCCTTGGCCTTGTCCTTGTCATTGGCCTTGTCCTTGTCCTTGTCATTGGCCTTGTCCTTGTCCTCGTTCTCGTCCATCTATATCTTCGCCTCCTTAGCCAGTACCGTATCATATGTAAGCAATTCGGCCTCATCGCTGTCCACCCTCGTCAGTCAGTCATCATCATATTCGGATGTTCGCCAATCGAACGAGCGAATTGAATGGCTAGATCCCAGAAGTCACTCCCAAAGCCGCCCATATGGGATGAAGAAGCTGAGAAGAAAGACCCCGAATTAAGGTCCATGCCCAAGTCCATATCCATGTCCATATCCATGTCCACATCGCGTCCGTCCATCTGTCCATCCTATCATCCAAGACCCTGCTTGGTGCGGTGGTAAACAGTGTACAGGATCTCCGATGCATCTAGTCCTGTCTGCGAGGATCATTCAGACGCCCGTGATCCTCCTCACGGCCCTCCTAGCTCCCTCACCACTAATCGCGATTTTCCCTTCAACTTCCAACACTTTGACGACCTCGTTGAACTCGGTGCCTTCGATCTCAAGGCTGCTTCCCTCGGCGACTCTTCGATAGAGATCCGTATACCTCATAGCTCCTCCGCTACGGATTGTACTGTCCGCATCCAATATTTCCAGTACCGCTCGTTTCAGGTCCTCTCTCCTGCGCCTGTCGCTGACACCGCCCCCCTCACTTAGCAAGCCCATATCAATCAGGCCTGTCCTTGCGTCCGTGGCACTCGCCTTGATGGCGGACTTGATCAATCTCACTGCTTCATTCACATCCTTCTCCTCAACAATGGGTGAGAGTCTCATCTTGGCGTGCGCTTCAGAGAGGCGAATCATTGATTCAAGCTGACGCGTAGTGGCGGTGATGCGTTTCTCCGAGGATTGTATGTTGGAGCCGAGATTGCGCATAGCAACGTAGGCATTCGTCAAGGCGTTAGCAGCCGGCGGACTAAGACAAGGGTGGATGTTGTTGCGGGCGTACGAGATGTAGGAGGTAAGAAACTCGATGGGCTAAAATGGCTGTTAACTAGTGTATTCTGGCAAGGAGGATATGAGAGTATGTGGTAGGGAGGAATTGAACATACCAAGATCTCCTCCCTCGACGCATTTTCCGGCGTGTCCTCAAGATACATTCCAACCAAATGCTTCGCGAGTCTCCGATCATTTACCTCATCAATTCGATCCAGCACAAGATAGACAAGATCAAACCTCGACAAGAGCGTCGGCGGAAGATCAATGTTCTGGGGCACCGGAAGATTCGGGTTGTACTTGCTACCTACGGGATTCGCTGAGGCCAGGATACTTGTCCTTGCGTTCAACGTAGTGATGATGCCCGCCTTCGCAATGGAGACGGTCTGCTGTTCCATGACTTCGTGCAGTACCGAGCGAGTAGACTCGTTCATCTTGTCGAATTCGTCGATGCAGCATACGCCGCCATCGGAGAGTACCAAAGCTCCGGATTCGAGGACGAGCTGTTTGGATTCTGGATCTCGGGTCACATAGGCGGTCAACCCGACTGCTGAGGAGCCTTTCCCCGATGTATAGACTCCTCGTGGTGCTATCTTGTGGACGTACTGTAAGAGCTGAGACTTAGCAGTAGATGGATCACCACACAGCAAGACGTTAAT